CACTAGTTTAGCCACAATAAATTTGCCTCCAGGTTGTTACAATATAACACCATTCTTGGTAGATTTTCTGTTATCACAATATGGGATGGTCAGAGACAAAGATGGAGAGAAAAAGAATACAGATGAATTTGGCTAGATTAAAAAAAAATATCCTTCAAAAATTTTTAAACCAACTGCATCTCGTTTTGCGTGCATGTGTAGACATGGTATCAATAACAAAGTCCAGTCAGATGAAATCCTAATGGATGGTACCATTGGCACCACAACAAGGCCCTTAAAGCAATGGTAAATGAGGTGACTACAACTATAAGGACTAGTAAGCATCTACCAGGAAGGAAGTTGAATCAGATTAACTTCCTCAAAGCTGGACATAAGATATAGGAACAGACGAGAGAGAGAGAGAGAGAGAGAGAATGAGTCTTATTTTCCTCAGATGATTGGCAGTTAATAGTAGATGTAAAGACCCAGCTAAAGTTCTCCAGGCACATACCTGTAACATCACTCAGACCAAACCCAAAATTGCACTAACAACACAAAGCAGTGTATTATTTGGGAACTGTCTGTGTCATGGGAGGAATTCATTACACTGGCGAACAAGAGAAAGAGGTCCAAATGCCGAGAACTGGTCGAACATTGTTGGCAGAAGTCATGGAAAATATACTATGACCCATTAGAAGTTGGTTGCAGGGGCTTTGTAGGATAGTTGTTGGCAAAAATAGGGACAGCGAGGGTTAGAGTGCTGAAGGACATTACCAATGAAGTGTTAACAACTTCCATGTAAATTTGGCTTAAGAAGAGATTGGAACCATGGAAGAAGAATTGAGGATGATGAGGAAGGGGGAATAAAAAGGAAAGAAAAAAAAAAAAAAAAAAAAAAAAGAAGAAAAGGAACATGGGGTGGTGGGGATATTGAGTCAGGACAGTTGAATAGTTATGGATAATGGGTTTAAGGTTCAATTGAGTGGGTGCAAATGGTTCAGTGGTTTAAGAACGAGTAATAGTGGGAAGGGTTAAGAATGCAAGGTGGGGATCATGTATGTGAAAGTTTTTTTTTTTTTTAATTGTTATTTCCATACCCATGCCTAATTGCCTGTTTCTGTTGAAAGTAATTTCAGAGGGTAAAGATTTGAAAATGTTTTTTGTTACTAGTATTAATTAGTCAGATTTATTTTGAGTAATACTTAACAGTAATTAAATTATATGTGTAGGTTAGTTAATTGAGTATTTTGACTTTTTTTTTCTTTTTTTGGATAGGTCATTGAATTACTTTAGTTGATAGGAGAAAAAAGGAAACAAAAAGAAAAAGGAAAAAGGAGAAAAAAATTTCAAATAAATAGTAAGAGTTAATTTTGCAGTGGCTGGTTTGTCAACCTGCTAACTTTGGTTTCATAGAAGTTAATTTAAAGGTTGGGGGGGGGGATAAATATATACATCTGTGTGTGTGTGTGTGTGTGTGTGTGTGTGTGTGTGTGTGTGTGTGTATACATGCATGTTTAGACTAACCAAATTAAGAATCCAGGGAAATTAACTTTAATTAAAACTGGAGAAAGTAAAAAACACAAATATATGGTTGTGGTGGGGGGACGACTTGGCTATGTTGCTTTTATGATTTTGCAATGTCAAAGTGTCTAGCATGCCGCTTTCAAGGAGGTGGCCTGACATGTCTGGAGTCAGGTTGGGGGCTGCGGTTTGAGCTGATATGATGTGAAAACCGAAATTGGTAATGAGGACAGTGCATCATTTAAGATCTCCCTTGAATGTCTGGTACGACAAAAGATTTATACTAATCTATAACATTTTAAAATTACATATTTCCTCAGTTTCATATCAATAAAAAAAAAAAAAAAAAAAAAAAAAAAATATATATATATATATATATATATATATATATATGTGTGTGTGTGTGTGTGTGTGTGTGAATAATACATTAATGCTTTAGAAATTGTGTTGTTTATGTTTCTTATACAAAACTGAGCAGATATGAGCTGTTGAGTGTTTTCCTTAAAAGGGAAAATAGAAACTTGCTCAAGTGTGAGGCCCTCTGTAGCTGATCAGTCAAAAAGCATGCCAGATAAAATGGTGGTTTTATCATACAAAGGGAACTCAATTCCAAACCCAGTCAGAGACATATTTTCTTTAAGATTTCAAATGATATATATATATATATATATATATATATATATATATATATATATATATATATATATATATATATATATATATATATATATATATATATATATATATATATATATATATATAATATAATTGGGCACCTGGCATGGTGTAATGGTTTAGCAAGCTTGTCTCTCGCCACTAGAACATATTACAACTTAGTAGTGAGTTCAATCCTCACTGGGTGCTCCATACTTCCGGCCTTGTGCCACATCTAAGCAGCGCTTCGAAAAATCACTATATAAAATAATATATATATGTCATTGACTGATTTGGCATCAACTATCAGCGTCCACTTGAGAGGGAGACAGATTTTTACATACTTATTCTTCAAATAAGCACGCCAATGAACAAGAGTGCTCAATTCATAGAAGAGCTTTGCAGTATTAGCAGTAGTAGTCATTGTTTACAAATTCACACTTTCCCTCAAGAGTGCCTGAACAGAGTTAAATTTTTCAGTGGCATATATATTGTCATCCACAGACAGACTGTTTCACAGCTCATTACTATCCTAGATAGATAGATAGTATATGCGACCTTGCTTTCAACCTCTCAGTATCATCAGACAAATTCTATCAATTGATAGAGTTGACAGAATTAGCCTGATGAGACTGTGAGGTCAAAGCCAAGGTTGTGTATTACATGCATTGAGCACTTTTTATACAACTGTTTACTCGTTTGATTCAACTCTAACCATACCATTAACCTATATATAAGGTACAGTGTGTATGCCTGTGTCCCAGCAACTCCTCCGCTCCCACTGTTCCGATTTCAATGATTCATAGCCCTAGAAAAGTTAGACGCAGGGAACGATTTTTGTTGAGCGATTATGTGAGGTTAAAAATATATATTAATATATTATACTAGCCATTATCGCAGCTTTCATGGTTCAATGGGAGTAACTCCTATTTTCCTTTTGTATCCAAAATTGCAGTGCACATTTTATTATAAACTAGCTTAAAAGCCATATCGGGTGGCATTAAGCTAGATCCTGTGGAGGACTCTTGGTTTGGCCATCATCACAATAGCTAGGGAGGAGTAGATGCGATAGGCATCAATAAACTACAGAAGAACTCAAAATTGATCACTGCATTTAAGTATTGAATTAATGTTTAAGCTTACCTTTTACCAGTTCAATGATAATTCTTCTGCTTCCACTTAATTTAAAGATGATTTGATGTACGTAGATCCTTATTTTTTGTACAAACAATTTTTATTTCATGGGTAACAGAACAGAGGACAACTTTATATATATATATATATATATATATATATATATATATACACACACACAGTGTATCACAAATGTGAGTACACCCCTCACATTTCTTCAATATTGAATATCACTTCATGGGACAACACTGACAAAATGACACTTTGACACAATGAAAAGTAGCCTGTCTGCAGCATATATAAGTTAATTTATTTTTCCCTCAAAATAACTCAAAATATAGCCATTAAAAGCTAAATCCCTGGCAACAAAAGTGAGTACACCCCTTAGGAAAAGTTGTCAATATTAACAGACAACATGTCAACTGTCAATATTTTGTGTGGCCACCTTCATTATCCAAAACTGCCTTTACTCTCCTGGGCATGGAGTTTACCAGAGCTTCACAGGTAGTCACTGGAATGCTTTTCCACTCCTCAATGACGACGTCGCGAAGCTGGCGAATATTCGAGACTCTGCGCACCTCCACCTTCTGCTTGAGGATGGCCCAAAGATGTTCTATTGGGTTCAAGTCTGGAGACATGCTTGGCCAGTCCATCACCGTTACCCTCAGCCTCTTCAGTAAAGAAGTGGTTGCCTTGGATGTGTGTTTGGGGTCATTGGCATGCTGGAACACTGCGCTGCGACCCAGTTTCTGGAGGGAGGGGATCATGCTCTGCTGCAGTATTTCACAGCACATGTTGGAGTTCATGTTTCCCCTCAATGAAATGTAACTCTCCAATACCTGCAGCACTCATGCAGCCCCAGAGCATGACATTCCCACCACCATGCTTGACTGTAGGCATGACACACTTATCTTTGTACTCCTCACCTGGTCGCTGCCACACATGCTTAAAGCCATCAGAACCAAACAAATTAAATTTCATCTCATCAGATCATAGGACATGGTTCCAGTAATCTATGGGCTTTGTTGACATGTCTTCAGCAAACTGTTTGCGGACTTTCTTGTGTATTGCCTTCAGAAGAGGCTTCCTCCTGGAGTGACAGCCATGCTCACCAATTTGATGTAGTGTGCGATATATGGTCTGAACACTAACAGGCTGAATCCCAATCTCTTTAATCTCTGCAGCAATGCTAACAGCACTCCTACGCCGATTTTTCAAAGAAAGCATTTGGATGTGACGCTCAGCACGTGCGCTCAGCTTCTTTGGATGACCTACCCGAGGCTTGTTCTGAGTGGACCCTGCTCTTTTAAAATGCTGGATGATTTTAGCCACTGTGCTGCAGCTCAGTTTCAGGGTGTTGGCAATCTTCTTGTAGCCTTGGCCATCTTTATGTAGTGCAACAATACATTTTTTAAGATCCTCAGAGAGTTCTTTGCCATGTGGTGCCATGTTGGAACTGTCAGTGACCGGTAAGAGAGAATGTTAGAGCTGCACTACACATTTGAATACACCTGCTCCCCCATGAACACATGGGCATAGTTACACTAATGAGTCACATGACATTTTGGAGGGAAAATGAAAAGCAGTACTCAATTTAGACATTTAGGGGTGTAGTTTCTTAGGGGTGTACTCACTTTTGTTGCCAGGGATTTAGCTTTTAATGGCTATATTTTGAGTTATTTTGAGGGGAAAAGAAATTAACTCTGTTATATATGCTGCAGACAGACTACTTTTCATTGTGTCAAAAGGTAATTTTTTCAGTGCTGTCCCATGAAGAGTTATACTTAAATATTTGAAGAAATGTGAGGGGTGTACTTACTTTTGTGATACACTGTGTATATATATGATATAATTTATATTTATTACAGGGTCCTACACTTATGTCAGATCCATTCCTACAGCATGACAACCCGATTTTCGGCATAGGTTGGAACTCCTCTACATAAGCACCCATGAGTCTACCTTACGCTTGCTTGTCATATAATAAAGGGCAAAAGTTCCTAAAAAAAATGACGCAAATGAGAGACAGCGGATGTAGCACAATCTAACATATGGTGTACAGCTGGTAAAGAAACAGCATCATCTTCCTCACATAGCATCGCATGACGATGTATTATATTAATGGAGATGGCACTGTAACCACAAAACGTATGTCAGGTCTGACACAATCTGAGAACCTTCTGTATATAATACTAATACTGATATACTTAAATCAAGAAAACTCCCGGTAGGTCATGCAACTAGTCTGTCCAGAATCACCTCTGCATAGCAGTCACCTATTAGTATAAGTAATGAGATTATCTTCATTACCAACTGGCTAGGCCATTCACTTAGCTTAGAACACTTAGTATTCCTCAGTAGTCACTCATCTGAATACTGACCAAGATCAGCATCCCACTTATTACTTGTGTATTGTTATTCAGTTGTTCGTATTTGATGATTAGTTAAGTGGCTTGCATAATAGAGTCGGCCATTCTTGTTAGTTGTGTAATTCTTGTTTTTATTTAGTTTCTTTAATAAGAACATTGAATAGAGTGGCTACCAACAACAGGTAAATATGTAAAAGTATGTAAATAAATAAAGAGCTTTGACTGTGCCAAATGTTGTTTTAATCAGAATCAAAATAAAAAATAAACTGTTTACCTCATTGAATTATGGGTTTTCTTTTTCTCTTCCAGGTCAATACGGTCAGACTTGATTTTTGCATTCTGTTCACGTAGGAAAGTTCCTAGAAAAAAAAAAAAAAAAAAAAATACTCACATATGAAGAAAAGCTGGATGATGATCAACATTTTCAAGAAGGAAGAGAGTGGAGCTTCAAGAAGGAAGAGAGTGGAGCTTCAAGAAGGAAGAGAGTGGAGCTTCAAGAAGGAAGAGAGTGGAGCTTCAAGAAGGAAGAGAGTGGAGCCTCAAGAAGGAAGAGAGTGGAGCCTCAAGAAGGAAGAGAGTGGAGCTTCAAGAAGGAAGAGAGTGGAGCTTCAAGAAGGAAGAAGGGAAAGGGGAGGAGGGAGGGGAAAGTGGGAGGGAGGGAGGGGAAAGGGGAGGGGGAAAAGTGGGAGGGGGGAGGGAGGAGATAAAAAAGACAAGGTGCCAAGAGGGAGGAGATAAAAGTGGAAGGTTTAAGAGGAAGGAGAGAGAAGAAAAAGAAAGTGCGGTTAAGAAAAACTCTTAAACACTGTTTCATAAACATTTAAAAACCGTTTAAAAAGAGAATGTTTCAGATTATTTTGATTTTAAAAAGGACTATTCAGCTATAAAAGTTATCCCACATTAATTTTCTAAACCTGTTTTTCAGTGAAATGAAACATTTGACAAAGTGAATATTTGATTTAAGATTTCTGGTGAAATCAGTTCACAGGTAAATAAAATTCACTGTTATGATTGCCTTGTCAAGTAAAATAAATTCCTGATAGTGTAAAATTGGAAACTGATACAGTAGTACTTTGGGGGGGGGTAAGGGAGAGAGAGAGAGAGAAGGGGTAAAGGGAGAGAGAGAGAGAGAAGGGGTAAAGGGAGAGAGAGAGAGAGAAGGGGTAAAGGGAGAGAGAGAGAGAGGGGTAAAGGGAGAGAGAGAGAGAGAAGGGAAAGGGAGAGAGAGAGAGAGAGAGGGAGAGAGAGAGAGAAGGGGGTAAGGGAGAGAGAGAGAAGGGGTAAAGGGAGAGAGAGAGAGAAGGGGTAAAGGGAGAGAGAGAGAGAAGGGGTAAAGGGAGAGAGAGAAAGGAGAGAGAAGAGAAGGGGTAAAGGGAGAGAGAGAGAGAAGGGGTAAAGGGAGAGAGAGAGAGAAGGGAAAGAGAGAATTAGAATAACAGATAAATTATAAAAAAAAAAAAAGATAAAACTGTTACTCACTTCGGATATGATTGTCATTTATCAAGCATTCAAGATTGGCCCTTTGAGACTGGAGATTATTTTTTTGCCACTCGAGCTCACTGTGCAGTTGTCGTACACGCAGTAATCGTTCTTCATGGTCATGTAGCTAGAGAAAGAAAAGAATTAGCATAATCAGAGTTCAAGATTTCAAGGATGGCAAGTGATTTTATCTCAATTTTGGATTGTCAGAATGTTTTGGGGATAAGGATTTACAGATACACGGCCTACTGATTAACCCATAGGTAGGGGAAAGATGTGGATTCATAGCTTTCCAAAGAGTATTTGCACACAAGTAAATTCATGGAACATGACTGGAATTGGGGCTTGGATCTGATTTTCAATTGCCCATCCAAGCTTACAGCACCTGATGTTATGAAGTGGTCACTCATCTAGGTACTCACAAGGCTTCATGTTGCTTAACTTCTGTAATTCTACAAGAACTGGTGTTTCAACATGATATAGCTGTAAGTACCTACTCAGTGAAAAAGCTTCCATCGTTATTGGATGCCCTTAGTGTTTTTTTTTTTTTTTTTTTTGACCAGTAGTGGCATCTGCAAAGTGGGATCCTCAAGGTGGCCACCTACTTGACCAAAAGGGAATAAAAGCATAAATGAAAACTTCTTTTAGGTGTTGGGGGGGGTGTCAAGTGTCTTGACTGAAGACTGAGGATTTCCTTTTGACAACTTAAACAGTCACAGTTGGGACTGATGGTTGTTGACCATGTTCACCGTAGTCTATGAATATAGAATCCAGCACAGTACGTAATCTGTTCAATGAAACAACGTTAAAGATTTACACTCACGAGGCAGACACTCTACTGGATCTGATATCGCCAATACCACCAGCAACCGTTCCGTAATTCTTCAGTCTTCGATATCAAAGGCTGGCAGTGAATATTCGGGAAAAACACGGCTGCCTTTATACACGTCGCATTGGATATTTTGAGCCTTCTGTTTGGTTAACCCTTCTATTGGTGAACTATAAAATGAGTCAGCTCATTTTGGCTGGCTCACTAGTACACCAGGGTACCCCAAAACTCCAACAATGGTAGCTCTGGACCATCAGTTGGTGGGGACAGACTGTTCTTTACAGTAGCCTTAAGGCTGCCAGTTAGAGTTACCAGCCACATCCTCTGATGGGCGGAAAGATGACAAGAGAAAATCAGAATTCTTGTCACTTGAAGGGAAAAGCTGATCCATAGTCTGTCATGGCAGAAGTTGTTCCACTTGTCATATTTCTAGCCACCAGTGAAATCCCTGAATTTTTTTTTTTTTTTTTTTTTTTTTTTTTTAAAATGTGCCGTGTCTTCAAAACACAGGCATTATGGCTCTCCACTTCCTCCCCTATCCCTTGGTGCTCTCAATAAGTTATGTCCTTTCCTACTTCCCCAGGCCCTGTTCTGTCATCCACTTGCTTAAGTCTGCTAGGTATGTCATGCATTGCTTTCCCCTGTCTCTCTTTCCCTCTATTCGACCTGTGAGTATCAGATTCCCCAAGCAGTCCTTCCTCAATACATGTACCAGAAATTTCAGATGCATCTTCCTCATGTTAAGTATAAGCTTCTTCCTTGTTTGCATCCTCTCCAAAACCTCATTGTTGCTCACACGCTCAGTCCAGGATATCCTCAGCATCCTTCTGTGGAAGCATATCTCCGCTGCCTCGAGTGAATGACCAAATTATTCAAAACATTATTCATATTTTCATTTCCTTCGCATTCATTTCATTTTCTTTTGTTCACCTTGTCGATATATGGTGGGTTTTCCCCAGTATTTGTGCACACCAATGCAAACGAGAAATAAAATAATTTTTTTGATTCTGACAAATGTCGCACCTTAATGAGAGGTCTTATGAACGGTGATCTGTAGAAATTATTTCCAAAAATATTTTTCCTTTTCTTATTTATTTATTTTTTTTTTTTTAAATGTGTGGACCTCGTGTACTTAAAATAGTTCTGAAGACTCATTCTTCACCAAGCCCTTAATTAGGAGGCATGGTAGAGTAATGGTCAGGAAATCAGAGAGCCAAGTTTGAATTCTAGTACGAGTCATTACATTCACTTACATGCTAATTCCTTTAGGAAAGGTAAATATTCTCTCTTCTCTTCCCACTAGCTATGGGTAAAATAGTAGGGCTGACTATAGGTCATATAGCCTTGGGTGGCAGCCAGACTAGAAGGAAACTCAGAATCCAAACTGGTTTGAAATATCTTAAAAATGTTCATACTTGTGGTTTGGAATTGTTTGCAACTTAAAAAAAAAAAAAAAAAAAAAAATTATTTACCATGTATAATTGTGTATCATGTGACTTGAAGACCTAATTTTGAAGCTAATTTTAAGTAGTGGGGGTCACATTATACACGAGATATAAAATTATTGCATGTACTGTTGGTCCTGGCTATACCGTTGACCAAACTATATATGCATTTACTGTAATCAAAAGTACAGCTGTATTTAAAATAAACATGATTTTGATAAAACTAATGTTTTACTTACCTATATCCAATAATAATGCATGTAATATTCACATATTAGTATCGTATTATAAAATACAAACATAGCAAATATGCATCTTTTCCGTTGTTTACGTTTAATAGATGTTTAGCTGTTTCTCGTTCGGTTGTTTATGGCTGTACACATTTACGCAATGAGTATAGTGTTACTAACAATACTTTTATCATTCACTGTTACTTTTAACTTATTTAACTAAAAGATGGGATAAAGAGATAGAAGAAAAGAGGTTAGTCTATTGTAATTTGGTCTCTCAAAAAGAACATGATAAAATCATTTTTTGTATGTGAAAATTAGGTGGTTGCACAATACGCGAAAGTGCACGTTATACAAGGACATACAGTATTTATCCAGTCAACAAGTTTAAGCTTTTCACTTAAAAGGTTGATTCCTTTCGGAGAATGCATATTTCCATAAAATTTCTTGAACATTCAATCCATATAGTGTAATTAATACGATTTAATTAGAAAACAGAACATTTACTTAAATAAATTGTATCTATAAAAATAATGTATAAACAGAAAATATATTAAATCAGAAATTATAAAAGGTTTTCTAAATATATAATGAAAAAAAATTCACTTAGTCCTTTCTTCATCTCATTAACAGTTCAGTCACAAGCCTTTTGCTTCCCTATCGCTATTTCTGTAGTAAATGTTCTGACAAGCTGCATTACTTAGTTCTACCAGTTCAGGCCTTCACAGCTAAGACCTGCCATACACTGGGACAAAAATCAACCTTTGTATTTCATGAGTAAGAAAGATTCTTCCTAAGAATTGCTCATTTGTGGAAAAGACTCCTGAGACATGCTTCCCTTATTACAACAATCTTAACCTAAAATCAACTGCTATCTTACTTATCTATCCTCATAAACTGCACTTCTTACCTCCCCCTCTTACAACAACCTCATTCAGTAACCGTCTACTTTGAAAGGCTCTTGCATTGTGTGATCAGTTAATATAAAAAAAAGTAAACAAAAAAAAGACTTATTTTAGGGAAAGAACTACCATTACCACACCCAATATTATATTTTATAGATAACTTGTGATTAAATCTGCAATATTTTCAGTCCTGAGCTGGTATCTTGGCTTTGGTCACTTAACCACCACCATAACTTCCCTGTGTTTTCTATAAATGTTTCCATGGTTGCTGTTTTGATAAACTTTCCTCTTTGGTAGTTAAACTTTATGAATTTAAGCATACTACTAGATTGGTGGCAAGGTCTCATCATTTTACTGTTGAAATGACTAGATCTGATCATAAGTTCTATGCTAACAGTTTCTTCTGTTGCACATCTCGCTTGTGGAACTCTCTTCTGGCTTCTTGCTTTCCAGTTAACTTTGATCTTCAAAAAATTAAATTCAATTTCAATCGTTATCTTCTGTCATAATTCCTGTTCTTTTATTATTCTCCCTCCTTAATATTTTTTTTTCTTCTCATTCTCTCTCACTCAGTAACCTCTTGCACCTTAGGGATTTTATTGCCTTGCTTGGGATAAAATGATTAATTAGATTAATACATGTCTACACATGTATGTGTACATGCATACACAGTTTACTTTTGGCCTTGGGCAAAAACTAGAGGGCATTCAATAAGGATAGAAGTTTCTTCACTGATAAGGGCTTACAGCCATATTGCATTGAAACACTGGTTCTTGCATGATCACCAAAGTTAAGCACTGTTGATCCTGGTGAGTACTTCAATGGGTGACCACTTGGGAATATAAGGTGCTGTAAGCTTAGAGTAGTACAATTGGAAATTGGAGAGGCAAGCGCCAATACCAGTTGGGTTCATTATATTCACTTATGTGCAAATAACATTGGGAAAGGCATAAATCTATCTCTTTCCCCCAGCTATGGGTTAATCGGTAGGCTGCCTATCAATAAATTATTATTATCCCCAAAACATTCTGACAATCTAAAAATATTTTCAAACTTTAAATAATCTACTAAAGATTGATAAATCATAAAAAACAAGTCAATGAATCAATCCACTTAGTAGGGATGACCATTGCACCTACAATAATATGGCCATAAATATCACCCCAACCCCATTATAGACACTTCAAATGAAGTTTAATGACAAGATTTTAATTAATTCAAAATTAAATGGAGATTATTTTAAAATCTGAATTACCTTTTTACTTTTTTCTTTAGAAGCTTCTAATTGGTCTTGTATTGAAAGCCGTAAACGTTTGGCTGTGGCCCGATTTTGCTTGATAGCTCGAAGTATTGTGTTAATCCTACAATGGGAAAAGCATACAACATCAGCAGAAAAGAAATAAATATATCATTAAGGATTAAGATTTTTAATATTACAATACTCAAAATACATTAGTCTTTTCAACAGCTTCGAATTAGATTTCTGGCTTGTAGGCTAATTTGCATTAAAACCCAAATTAAGTTTCTTCCTTGGTACATCCCTGGTTTCTTGTATTGTCAATTTGTGCCAGTGCTACCAAAAATGTATTCTTAGTGTTCTCATTTAGTAGGGTTTTTGACATCCATGGTCATCGCCTGTAGACATCAGCATGCTGCAAGGTAAACTAGATTTTATGGGGATTTTGTCTGGTAGTTGTTCTGATTCCCATTCAAATGGGAAAGTTTGCAGTCATGATAAATTCTGTCTACTGAAAACCAATTTCAAAGAACAAACTCTTGATAATTAACAACAGATTGAACAATTTAAAAGTAAATCAGGAGTACAGAATTATTAATTTTTCCCCTTTGGGCTGGTTGATGATTTTTTGTCAGGAAAATTATTCTAGTTGTAATTCCTAGTAAATTAAGGGACCTTGATCCTGGCACTGTATTCTTGTCTATCTGGGCTTGTGTTTTTAGATTCGTTAGTAGCAGTAGAAACAAGAGGGAGAATGGTTTAATTTTTTCTTTTTTTTTTATTCTGTATGGCCCTTTATGTATGTGTCTCACCCAACTCATTTGCATAAGGAAGTTTGTACATCTGATGTTGATTTATTGCAGATTTTTCAATAATTTATTCATATGAGTTTTTTGTTCATATGACCTTTTTTTTTTTTTAAATGCAGTCAGGCTAAACACCTAGTCTGAGTTTTGGTAACAACAAACACTTTAGGGCTAATATTTTGTACAAACATAGTAAGGATTCTTCCTCAGAAGTTGGGAAATTTCAAGAGCCATAATTTTTGTCATATTGCCTCAGAAGCAACTGGGTAGATTGGGAAGATCTAGTCTTACTAAATCTTAATGAATTCTATTTGGCTTATTTCAGACTCAATTCTTCCTGGACCTTTCTACAAACTGACTTTATGGTTACTAATTATTATTTTTAATCAGTTCTTTCTTTCCTTGTTCTCAACACTTAATTAGTTTCCAAATTTTTTCATTGTTTAATCTTATTCCCTGCCTCTAATAATCATTAGACATTCACATGCAGTAAAACTGAACACGGTAAAGTGGAATAGAGTATATAATCTGTCTATATCTCTGAGATGAGGTATTATGATTACTTATATTATTTACATTATTCGGACTATTAACCTCATCTTCATTGTCATATTCACAATGTTTTGGACTTCTTCAGCTGATTGGAATTTCAAACCAAACCCCTTATTTTGTCCAACTAGAACAATCTACCCTGGTGGACGATCGTAATTTTGCTATAAATATGTATTGCCAGTAATTTGGTTATAAAATATATTTTTATATTGTCACAGAGTTTTGTCTGTTTGGGGGAGATTGCTATTTGCCAATAGCCGAGACCTTGCACGCTGGGTCACCTGGAGAACAATAGCCAGTAAGAGGTGGTTCCACACGCTTCAAAACCTCCAATATTACAATCAGAGGCCTTGCTACCAAATGTAATTTATTGTCACACCCAGGATTAGTGACAAAGTGGAAAAGTTATTCAGACAACACGTTTCACCTCATCATAGTAGACATCTTTAGGTTGAAATGAGAGAAACCTTTGTGTAAGGAAGGTGCACATTAGTTTTGATGAAGACATAATAGCTGTACCAGATGCCACAGAACAATTTACCCCAGTGGACAAAAAGGGTCTGGTTCAATATTCTAATCACCTAAAGAAGGCTGGAGCATACAACAGTCAAAACCTTGTCAATATGGCAATGAAGATGAGGATAACAGTCCGAATAATGTAAGTAAGCACATGTTATAAAGAATGTTTGTAAGAATTTCTAAGAGTTAAGTAAGATAAAGTATACTTGTGTAGTTTCTCAATAGTGAAGGAGTTAAAACATATATAATTTAGATCTTATCAGTGAAAAATGTTGACTTGCTAAGTCTGAATAGACTGAAATCATAAAAAAGTTAAAATATTGTCTGTTATAGTCATGAACATAACATTGTTTAGTTAATGTTAATATTTAACAGAGGATGGGAATCTCACACCAGCACATTGGGATAGTGGTTAATTGGTTGATTATGTTTAGTGGCATATCAACACCTCTATGCGTTATTTAATAATGCAATCTAAATATTTTGAACACAATTGTATGCCTTCAACTACAGATGAAATGTATTGTTTATAATTTTTTTTTTTTAATATAAAAATGTATTGCTGATATTTTTTTACTATAGTTTCATAGTGTTTTGTTTGGTGGGGTTCACTATTTGCCCATAGCTGGAACCCTGCGTCAGGGTGGATCTGGGAACAACAGCAATTAAGAAGTGGTTCCATGCTCCTCAAAACCACCAATCTCCCAATCAGAGGCCTTGCTGCTGGATGTAGTATATCATCATACCCAGGACTATTGAGATAGTGAAAGTTGTCTTCTAAAAGACAGGAAAGGTACTAAAAGACAGGAAAGGTACTAAAAGACAGGAAAGGTACTAAAAGACAGGAAAGGTACTAAAAGACAGGAAAGGTACTAAAAGACAGGAAAGGTACTAAAAGACAGGAAAGGTACTAAAAGACAGGAAAGGTACTAAAAGACAGGAAAGGTACTAAAAGACAGGAAAGGTAAAAAGACAGGAAAAGGTAAGGTACTAAAAGACAGGGTAAAAAGACAGGAAAGGTACTAAAAGACAGGAAAGGTACTAAAAGACAGGAAAGGTACTAAAAGACAGGAAAGGTACTAAAAAAGACAGGAAAGGTACTAAAAGACAGGAAAGGTACTAAAAGACAGGAAAGGTAAAGGTACTAAAAGACAGGAAAGGTAAAAAGACAGGAAAGGACTAAAAAGACAGGAAAGGTACTAAAAGACAGGAAAGGTACTAAAAGACAGGAAAGGTACTAAAAACAGGAAAGGTACTAAAAGGAAAAAGGTACTAAAAGACAGGAAAGGTACTAAAAGACAGGAAAGGTACTAAAAGACAGGAAAGGTACTAAAAGACAGGAAAGGTACTAAAAGACAGGAAAGGTACTAAAAGACAGGAAAGGTACTAAAAGACAGGAAAGGTACTAAAGAAAAAGGTACTAAAAGACAGGAAAGGTACTAAAAGACAGGAAAGGTACTAAAAGACAGGAAAGGTACTAAAAGACAGGAAAGGTACTAAAAGACAGGAAAGGTACTAAAAGACAGGAAAGGTACTAAAAGACAGGAAAGGTACTAAAAGACAGGAAAGGTAATAAAAGACAGGAAAGGTAATAAAAGACAGGAAAGGTAATAAAAGACAGGAAAATTTCCTTAGAAACAAAGAAAATAGTACTTAGCTACTATGCATTATCAGTCCTCCTATATGGCAATGAATGCCAGACAGTCTCCCAGAAATCAAGAGACTTGAGGCAACAGAAATGTGGTTCTACAGAAGGATGCTGAGAATCTTGTGGACTGAGTAATGAGGAAGTTTTAAGAATAATGGAAACAAAAAGGAAGAAATTTCTAGGATGTAAAATGAGGAAAGTGGGCTTAAAGAATTTGACACTCACAGGACATATTGAAGGTAAGATGGGGAAACAGTAAGTAACCTCCCTACTAAGAGCTACAAAGGATAGGAAGTTGTGGAGGACCATGATCACCCATGTTCTGAATGGACACAGAACATAGAAGGAATGTTTTAGCTTATTCATTTCTTTATCTCCTATCAGGAGTAATTGGTGAAAAAAAAAAAAAAAAAAATGCTGCTGCTTCTGCCCTTACAAATTACATTTGGTGAGTGTTGAAGAATGAAATGGCTGAAACAACAATAACCGAATAAAAAGGCTCGAGTGACCAAACAACGTATAATTTAAAACATCACACACTATTTATTTATCAGTGTTACATATTCAGCAACATATGCAACTTAACCATAACAAAAAGATACTGATAAGCATTTTAACATACAAGGATGAATCAATAAACACTCAACATGAATTCTGATCATGAATTTTCGCAGTATACTGCTCAAGCTAAGGAAAAGTTACATTAAGTGCATCAAGGAAGGAGATTATATTGAAAAATATTTGACTTGAGTGTGTATATATATATATATATATATATATATATATATATATATATATATATATATACATACACACATACATACATAAAAAAGCAAACAAAAAGACAAAAGCCAAGGTATTTCTGGAAGATACCATTTTTTTAGGCAAACATGTCTTTTTAATTATAATGCCTAATATCAAAAGATAGAACATTATTAATAATAAATAAATTTGTTCACTATTTACCATCATGTTCCCTGAAAAGTGGATGTAATTCTGCAAAACTAAAAACAGCCATAAGTTCATTATTTTATTGTTGCATATATATTATTGATCATTAGGCTACAAACTTATTGATGTACCTAATGGGGTTAAAGCACACTTTATTAAGTACAATAGGGAGATGCTGCTTAGAGACATATTCCCAGGTACAAGGCTTTATTTTGATAACCAGCAATGATAATGTATGGCATTAAACAGAGGAAGATCTAAAACTGACTGAGGGTGAGGGAGAAAAAAAAACGGGGACCTAACTATTTTATTTAAATCTAAGCAAAGAATATACAAAGTAAAAGCACATAAATTTATGATAAAGGGAATCTTCCTACTGGTGGAATAAACCGACCACAGTGTCTTTATTTTTTTGTAATCGTTCTTCCCAGTCATAAAATGAATTACAAATGAAATTGGTCCCTCATATCATGCCAGATAACTTTTCTAGCCAGAATCCATCATCCATATTTATAAGCCTACCCTTTGTCCTTTCTTTGAAAATTGCTGCCACATCAGTGCACATCTAGTCCTCTTGCTATATATTTATAAATTCTTGATAAAATCTAAAGAAACTGCAATGTCATTAGTCCTTTGGAAATATTACCAATCTATCTTACACATTTATAAGTCTACCATTAGTCCATGCATTGAATACTGCTGCTACATCAAATCTGTTGATTTGGCTGTGCATTTAGAGATTTTTCATAAAATACAAAGAAAAATCTGCAATGTTATTTAACCTGATCTGGCATCTCTGCTTCAGTCACTTTCCCACCACTGTAATGTAGCTTACTTGTGCCTTTTCTATAAATACCTTCATGGTAATTGTTTTGATGAACTTTCCTCTATGGCACCTAGAATTTATGAATTTAAGTGTAGTACCATTGTTAGATTTGATGTGCTTCTGTGGCTGAGTGAGGGAACTGGTTGAGATGCCCAAGTAGCAGTTTGTACTGGGTTACATGTTACCAGTACCTAAGCTTTACCCAAAGTGGTATGTGCGTATCACTGACCTGTATATATAAATAGAGCAAAACCACAATGCACATGGCCTGATGCTTACATTCAGCATGAAACAGACTCACCTCTGGGTGCTGACTTCAATGTCCACTTTTATATTTACATACGCTCTATCCTTGATATTGAGCTCTTTAACCCAGCATAGCATATCTTAAAACTGTGTGTGTGTGACAGAAGGAACATTCGAGCAAAGAAAATACAGCCATGACCTCTCATTCTCTAAAAGAAAATACTCCAAAAGCACCACACTAGCCACATACGTATGACAACTAAGACAGAAACATCATACTAATAAACTGGGAAATCATGAAGACCGCACATACCTATCAAAGAGATGTCTATTTCGCCTACACAAAAAAGTGGGAATAATCTCCTACACTCAGCAAAAGGAATTACTAAACCATAGATCAGAAATAATTTCAAAATGCAGACACAAAAATAAATATCTATTTTCACAGTTCATACCAGATGCATAACACCTACAGCATAACTGAACACAAACAGGAATGAAATATATATATATATATATATATATATATATATATATAGCCACTACCATAACAATCAATACTGCTACCTACCCTACCCTTATCTTTCAATACCAACTCCTCTATCATCTATATCTATTATCTATATTTTTGAAATATGTATGACAAATTGGAATAAAGTTTTTGTGATGCATTTCATCCATTAGGACTTCATCAGACTGGGTTTATGTTTTTCTATATACTAGTTATAGTTTATATAAAAATTCTAATTCATAAAAGCTGTCTCGATAAAATAAAAATGCAATGAATGTCAGTTTTTATTGATTTAAATCGAGTTTAATACATCAGTATTATTTCTGGAAAAAAAAAAAAAAAAAAAAGAAGACCGCACCATAGAAATAATTACGACAGTAAAATAAAAATATAAAAAAAATATAATCCCCGATTCCCCCTAGCAATCAAATGCTAGCAGAGACACAGGCCTTTTTAATGAATTAGAAAATAGACCACGTTTTCCACACACCCGATTGGATGTTTGTAACAACCAATCCACTGCGCGAACTGTTTTTTTTTTTTTAAAATGGTCCACAGTTGGGACTGGGTTCTTTTCTTTATTTTTGGTGGATAGTAGTTTCAATAGATAACCGAAGAAGTAATTTAACGTTCTTAAATTTAACCCTTTTTCTTATTTCCTAAGTATGGCTTGGTGCCTTACTTTAATTATTTATGGTTTTGTTTTTATTTGTAGTTAGTTTGGTGGGGGACTTAACCCTACTATTACATTTTTATCATTTGACCTATAAATACATATTGCCAGTAATTTTGCTATAAAATATATTTTTATACTCTCACATTGTTCGGGGGAGGTCACTATTTGCCCATAGCTGGGAACCTAACAGGAGCTACCACACCGGGTCACCTGGAGAACAGCAGCAAGTAAGCGGTGGTTCTACGCTCTTCAAAATCTCCCTTATTCCAATGAAAGGCCTTGCTGCCAAATATACTTTATTGTCACACTGCGATTAGTGAAAAAGTGGAAAAGCTGTTCAGACAACACATTTCACCTCATCATAGTAGGCATCTTTATGTTGAAATAAGAGACAAACTTTTGTGTAAGGAAGGCATATGTAAATTTTGATGGAGAGAAAATAAACAGTCTTACCAGACACCACAGCTAAAACGCTCTCCACTCATACTGAAGTCATTAATGCCGGCTGGATTTGAAATTAGTCCACTCAGAGTAGATCTTTTTTTTTCTCTCTCTATTAGTTTCTATACTGCATTGTGCTATTATTGCTTTTGTGATGATTGGTGATACTGTATATGAATCAAGTGGAGAGAATTCCGAGTTTGGCCACATCATCTGATGAGGTTATTTATTATCTCTTCCAGTCTGAAGACGCCTACCATTAGGAGGCAAAACACTGTCTGCTCAGCTTTTCCTCTTACTTTCATCATCTTCCAGTTAGTAACTCAAAGCTGAATATTTCAGCAACTGTATACTAGTGTATTAGTACAGTCACTTGTTTGCTTAGTGGCAGGTTGTAAGTTAAATTCAGATGGAAGTCATTTAATTTTGTCAAAGAGAGTCAAAGCAAAATGAAGAAAGACCCTGTGACAAGAGTGTGTCTGATGTGGTTAAGAGTTGTGTTCTCTTGAATAATTGGCTGTTTGGTTCAATTGATTCATTTTCCACGGCTTTTTCAGGTTATTTAAAGCCAGAAAATATTTTTAGATTGTAAGAAGTTTTTTTTTTTTGAGTTCATAATGATTTAGTGATAAGAGTCTTACTAATTAACTCTTAGCTGGGGGAGAGAAGGTCGGTATTTGCATACAAGTGAATATAATGAACCCAAACGGAATTGGAACTTAGCTCTCCGATTAACAATTCTGAACAATTATCTATTACACCACCTGCACATCCAAGCTTACAGCACCAGATATTCCCAAGCATTCACCCATCTGCATAATGACCAGGTTTAATGTGGCTTAACTTTGGTGATCATATGGGAACTGGTGTTTCAATGTGCTGTGGCCATAAGCCCTGGCTGTTTGGTGAAGATATTCTATCCACCATAACTGGCATCACTGCTAAAATTTGAATAGCAGTTGTACTCATTTGCATGAGAACTGTAATGCTTGGTCATCAATAAATCATAGCCAATCTGGAGTTGTGGCTATAGTTACATAAGGCCAATGTTTTTCAGTGCCAGGAGTTGGTTAGTGTTGATGGTTTGGGAGATCACTCCTTGGATTTGCAAGCATTTGTATATCTGTTTTAGCATAGCATAATAAACAAATGACAGTCGTTTTGATAGAAGATTTTATTTTTTTTTTTATTTTTTATTTTTTTTTTTTTACACAATGATGTTCACCCTTTACAAGGCACAAGAGCCACTCAAGGCAGAACATTACAGAGTAAGAGGTACAGTTTATGGGGATATGTGGGAAAGATAACAGTTGACACTTGACTTGGACAGGTCAAGATTTTTTTGATCAGGAAAGCACCCATTTGGGAGTTGATTCCACACTGCTGTGTTTTATGACAAAGAAGTTGTATGCATGGAACTTACATCTCAACAATGGAATACGAAGGGATTTAGGGTGGTTCGCTATAATGTGTGTGGCATGCCAGGTGTTGTTCACAAAGGTTAGAACTGGTGGGAACCATGTTGTTCAGGTTCTATCACTATTTCCATGGTAATAGTGATAGAACAGCAAGAGACTTGTTTCATTTGTGGGGAAAGGGGTTGTAGGGTGGAAAATAATTTGTCAGAAGCAATATGAAAATAAGAGACTTACCGATACAAAGAACTGAGTCCATAAGAATGGATAAGATTGGAATGTTCAGTTTGATAGAAAGAGCTGGAGATATCTTTACACTGGTTGGCACATTTCTAGTGAGAGAGAGGGAGAGAGAAAAAGATAATGAAAAGGATGATAAAGATTCTCACAAAACAACACAGTTATTAATTAATACAAATGGAAGTAAAGGGATTTAGCAAAATGGTAAGTCAAAAATGAACCAATAAACAAAAAAAAAAAAAAAAAAAAAAAAAAACAAACAAAAAAAATGACAAAACAAAACAAAGACAGTCAAGTAATCCTAAAATGTCCACAATAATGGTAATTTTAAATAGTCCACAGGATGTTACAAAGTCAATTGTGTAGGGTTATTTTTGGTTTCTCTCTCTCATATATATATATATATATATATATATATATATATATATATATATATATATATGTTACAAAAAACAACTTTATATAAAAAGAATTTTAATATCAATTTTTTTTGTTTGTCATTTCCAACTTCAAAGTTTCTTGGTAATTACCATTCTTCAACGGGTTCTGTTAAAAAGAAAGTCATTACCAACAAAAAAATTGATATTAAAGTTAATATTTTATATATTATTAATGCTCTATTTTTAATATTATTTTAATACTGAGCACTACATGTAAAAATATCTGCTGTTTTTGAAATTATATATATATATTATATAGGCACCTTCACTGAATTTTCGATAACTAAAATGAAAAAGCATTCTTGAAAATTTCATTTTAGTTTTAATTGAAAGCTAAATGATTAAATTTATTATTTCCAGTAAGTAAAATATTCTGGTGTATTTCATATAGAAACTATATAGATTGGAATGTCAAATAATTGATAGATTTAAAAAAAAAAAAAAAAAAAAAAAAATTTTTTAAAAGTGGCCATTTTCTTAATTTTAAGAAATTTGTAAACAATTGAATTTATTGGTTTTAAAAAATCTTTCAAAATTAAATTATGAATTTGTGACATTACTTGAGTAAAATTATAAAATTTAAAGTTAAATTAATCTGATTTGAAATAAATATTACTTATAGCATAAAAAAAAAAAAATATACAAGCATTTCTTAATGATGGGTGCCTTCTTTCTTTGATCTTTATTGATTTATCGAGAAGCTCTTGAGGTGATGACAGTTCTTATGGATGGCCAAAAATGACAAATTTACAAAATCTAATTTTTCAGCAATTATATATTTTATTGACTTTTAGTTAGGTTTCAAAAAGCTTTATGAAATTTGCATTTTGTCTATGTTCTTAAGTTTACTACCTTAAGTAAAAAAATTAATTAATTGATGTATGACCCAAACTAAAATAAATACATAAAATAAAAATATCTAGTGAAATAGCAATTAAGAAAAGTAAAACTTTGGTTATTTTGAAGGGATGATTTGCAAAGATGTTAATGATGAAACAGAACTGAAGTGAAATAATTGCAGTGTGTCAGATGACACTTAAATCATGTGACCTTTTTAAGGATTGTCATGTAGATTATCATTAGGAACTTTTTTTTTTTTTTTACTAAAAATTATTTAAAAAATTTTATTAAAAATATTTGGGTACAAATGACTTCTGAGATTTTCAAATTTTGATCCTTAAATGTACTTTTCACTTAATTTGCTGTCTTGAAAGCAATGAAGAATTTTAAACGATTTTTGAACTATTATAATTAAAATTTGAAAAAAAAAAAAAAAAAAAATTCTTGTAAAAATTCATTATTCATTGAAAATTTTTTTATTTCTTTAGACAATAGTGTCTTTAATATAACTTATTTAAAAAAAAAATCAATGAAAAGTTTTTCTAATTAAATATAGATTTACAGCAGATTTTTGATGAAATGGGTAACTGTTTTACAAAAAAAAAAAAAAAAAAAAAAAAAAAAAAAGAATTTTTAACTATTTTTAAAACGTGCTACAGAAGAGTAAAAAATTTCAAAAAAATAGTAAAAATACTTTGGTCTTTCCTCGTAATAAAGACAAACATTTTGATGACAAAACTGTTTTTATTGAGTTTGGGGCTTTTTTTTTTTTTCTTTCTTGCTATACTGATTTTTTTTTTTTTTTTACGCGACAAAGTGGAAGTGTGTGTTATATATATATATATATATATATATATCTATCTATCAATAAATAAAAAAGAGAGAAAGAGAGAGGATTACATCAGGTAAAAGTTTGTCACATAGCTGATTGACATTACCTGCAGCATCCAGACTTTCATAGGCAGACATGTCCACCCACTCTTCAGGGTTTATCAGCAATTTACTGCTTAAATTTTTGATTTTTTTTCCTTTTTATATACTGGTGTAGGTTTTTTTGTATTTTTTTTTTTTTGGCGTGTGTGTGCAGTCCTGGGCATTTCCCAACAACAAAAGAAGAAAAAAAAAAAAAAACACTACAATATACAAACCACTATAGAAAAAGATAACTTATTTAATGTTGGCTGTTTCACTTTTATTACAATAGCCCCCATAATTTGGAGTTTTCCTTTGAACTGTATACTGTCTTTTGAAGTGTGTTATTAATTATATATATATATATATATATATGAATGAAGAAATATAGTTTTAAGTTTAAGGTGTGATATATTTATGGGATAAAGTGCTCAGTATCAGAGATACAGCATATATAATGATGTCTGATAATTGCGTCCAGCATGAAACAGCCTGTCGCCTCTGTGTGTTGACTTCAATGTTCACTTTTATATTTTTATATATTAGAATATTATAGCAAAACCATGTAAAAATCACTACAGTCGTGTTTCAATGCATCTCATCAGGCGATTGTAAATTACTGGTGAGTGAGCAATTTATTCAGATTTAAAAGCAAAATACAATCTCCTTTTAAAAAAAAAAAAAAAAAAAAAAAAAGGTGGGGGTGATGAGCTTTGTGTGATTTACTCAGATGAACCAACCAAATATTGAAACAACTGCAATTGTGTAACAATTTTTAAAGGTTTTCAATGTAATATCCTAATATATATATATATATATATATATATATATATATATAAAATTAATACAAGTGAGCAGTTTTTCGCTTAACTGATTGATGTTACCTTCAGAATCCCTTTTTGCCCCCACCCGACAACCATATTTTTTTTTTTTAATTTTATTGTAGTATAATATAGATTTTTGGCTGTGTTTATTATCTTTATATTCTCATTAGATATAGTCATGTATAGTTTTGTTAAGTTTAGTGCATTATTTAGTATATTTTCATTAAGTGATGGAGAAGTCTTTTATATCTAATTGCGTGAAGGAACAGTTTTCTTTATTGTTAATTTTATTAAAACCAATTAATTGTTGCTTTTGTCACTTATGTTTACGATGTTTCTTCGATTTGAGAATATTTTTTTTTGGTATTTGTTTTATTTTCCCAATGTTGCTTTTTGTGGGGTTTTTAGTAACCTGTATGTGGATTTGGTTGTGATGTTGTCCTTATGATCTTTTAATTTAATAAATGGTTCTACTTTTACAAGTTTTTATTTTATTGTCTAATTTTAGTTTAGTAGCTATATTTTTAGCTTCTTTGTTTATATCACTGTTTCATTATTAGTGGTTTTGTAAAGTTTTGTGACTTCTTTGTCAACTAGTTTATTGTAATTGTTGGTTTCCATTTTATAGATTATCTTCAATGTATCTGCTCTTAGAAATAGTTTTGTTTTTGTTTTGAGCCATTTATTATGTTTAGATCTTTTACAAGATTTCGGGAAATTATTGTTGAATTTTCTTATTTACAAATTATTGATTATCTTTATTAAGTCATTTTCAAAAGCAATGAGGTTGTTTTGTTGTGAGCATTTCATTGATGTGAATCCTAATCTGTTTATCTTATTGTTATTATCAATGTTGTTGTGATTGCCAACATTGTGATTGTTGAGCAAATAGAATAGAATACATTCTATCGAAGGCGTTTTATAAAGTGTTTTATTTTATCTGCAAGTTTGACTTTGTATATTTTTTAAAGAGTAGTTCAAGTGTATTGATTCCATATTGATGTAAAATTGTGTATTGATATTTTTCTGAGAAAATATAATAGCAGAAATGAATGCAGTGAAATTATATATATATATATATATATATATATATATATATATATATATATATAAATTTTATGACAAAGTGGAAGAAATTCTTTTGATGCATTTTGTCCTTTACACAAATGAAGGATGCTGGGATTTTTTTTCTTTAAAAAAAAAAAGTTTTTTTTTTTTAATCTAGCCAATTTCATTTAGATTTTTTCTTTTCATCACTTGTGTTATTAGATATCCCACACTCTGATAATCAAAGTTCTGCCAGGAGTAATGAAATGTAAGATCTCAGGCGTAAATTTACTGTAGGTGACCTTGTGATCAAGGCACTCTCTAGACATTTGTCATAGTGAATTGTTTTCTCCTTTGAACAGAGTAGCATTTTTTATGCCAAAGTTGTGGTCAGTCTTGTGACGGTGAGCAACCAACACAGCATTTGATGTATTATTTTGTAAATGTCCCTTTTGTGTTCATATAATCTTTTATCTAGGTTTCTTGAGGTCTATATTGTTATCTTTATATATATATATATATATATATATATATATATATATATATATATATATATATATATATATATATATATATGTGTGTGTGTGTGTGTGTAGGACACCTGGTGTAATGGTTAGCAAGCTTGGCTCGCTAAAACAATTACGACTGAGTAGTAAGTTCAATCCTCACTGGGTGCCCCCTAATTTCGGCCTTGTGCCACATCCAAGTTATGCTTGGAAAAATCACTATTTATATTTGTGTGTGTGTGTGTGTACATGAGAGAGAAATAATTTTAACCTTAATCAAATAAAAAATATAGAGAAATGAATTAAAGTAAAAATGTCCATATATATATTTTTTTAATAAATTATAAAATTATTTCTTTCTCCATGTATGTACACACACAAGAAACTGTATATGATAATTTGAAATAATCTTATTAAAAAGTAATGAACTTACCTTTCCTTAGTTAAAAAAAAAAAAAAAAAAAAAAAAAACCTGATGAAAGATAAGATAGAATGGTGAACTTTGTGAGGTGCTAAAATCAGTTAAATATAGATTATTTAAATGTTGTAATTTTTTTTTTTTTTTTAGCTATGTCTTCAAAAATCTATAAGATACCATATGTTTCCATGTACAAAGCAACCTATAGATAAGAGGAGACCTAAAATCTAGGTAAATTTTCATGATTTTATCCGATATCTGTAGTATAAGACTATCAACTGGGACCCATATGGTGAAACTGTCAATGATCATGTTTGCATTAGATGCTGATGATCATAGTAATTTAGAAGGGTTTTCATTATGCATATGGAGATCTTATGTTTTTTTTTTAATTCTGAAAACGAAAGATAAAGATTTTATGGCATCTTAAAAGTTTGTGTATTACACTCAATGTTGTTAAAACTATTATGCGAAATAATGATTGGTGTGCATACATCCATAACTATGCAAATCAAGGACAAAAGATATGTTTTATGTTATTTTCTTTACTTGTGCGTGTTGCTCACTGGAAATTTTGAAAATCATTGTGTAATTATCTCTTGAGTATTGCATTTTCATGTGAAATCAAGAAATAGTAAAAGTAGATTTATTAATGTAGTAAAGCATTATAAAGTGAATTGTTTCAATTAAAAATATCGCCATTTCTAGTTACCATATCGTTGTTAGTCTACTGCAATCCATGGCACAAGCATACTAACTAACTTACCAGTGATGATATACCACAGGATTTAAGGTTAGCTTTTTTTATAAATGTTGTATTACATGACCACTATTTTTTTTTTTTGGGGGGGGGGTAATTTTTTTAGGTTTAACAGTCTTATATGCAAAAATATACGGTAATTAAATATAAGTAAATCTATATCAGTAATTTTATTTATATTTGTAGCAGTGTACAGGAGGTGTTAGACTGAAACCTCCTGAAGAGTGGACTGAACCATTACAAAAAAATCCATCAACGAAATTCAAGGGGTTGACCTCAGTGTCCACTTTCATATTTACATATGCTCTATCCCTGATACTGAGCACATTAACCCATGAATATATATTTAGGTATGCCCTACCCTTGATACTGAGCACATTAACCCATAAATATATATTTCAATAATTTAGTAAATATTTATAAATAAAAAATTATTTTCATATTTATTTCTTTATAAATTGGCAAATGATAAAAATTGTATTAGTTTTTTTAGAATGTTGTAAATGTATTTGTAAGATGTGTAATTAGTATCTGAAACAAAAGTAAAAGATGATGAGACAAAGTGAGAAATTTTTAATCAAACATACATTTTACCAGAGAAAAGCTTAGCTTATGTTCTCATTGGCATCATCAGTTCAAGTAAATGTGATTTATGACAACCAACTTATCCTCAGAGATAAAAAAACAAAAAAAAAAACTCTTCCAACACATGGTTTTGTCTTTTAGTTGAGCTGATAGCATCAAATAGAACATAAGCTTTACTCTGGTGAAATGTGTATTTCAATAAAAATTTTTCATTTTGTTGCACCATCTTCAATGTTGTAAATATAAAATTATTCTTGTAAATAAGCAATCAAGTAAATGATATGTTTAATATTTTTGTTGTAAATTCTTGAGAACAAAAAAACAAAAAAAACAAAAAGAAAAGTATAAATTCACTTCCATTACATGCTAAGGTTTTATTACAATTCTAATCATCATATTTTTAAAAGAATAAACATTGCCAAGAAGTGAAGGTAGTTAAAATAACAATATCTATGGAAAACTGCCCTTTTGACACACTGCTTTTTTTCTGGCATGAAGTTTGCCAATATGTGTCTGTAAAATATTTTCTGTGACCATGAGAATTGTTCTTGTCAAGAACCCCAATGACGGAATGAAAAATTATGAAAAGGAGTCAACCTTTGATAAGTATTTTATATTTTTATATCTAATTTAGTAATCGTTATATATAAAATAAAACTCTAAGATGCCCATTAAATAACTGTCAATTATTTGTTTTGCTATGTGGCTGACATAAAGGATTATTTTTATTTTTTTTTTGTTTATTAAAATGGGTCTGATTTCAGTAGAGCCCAGTTCAATTTCTCATTAGAACATTTTACACAATGTAAAAGTCTAAATGATACATCTTTATCTCAGCCATTAGTATTTGTAATTTCTGCACAAACACACTTACCTCCAGTTCTTCATCTGACGGTGCTGTGAAGAACTGGTCAAACATACCAAATACCAAGCTATTCGGAGGGAACTTGATTCCATCTTTTAATGCCTGAAACATTAATAATTATAACAAGAGAATCAGTCACAGAAAAGAATTGCCAATGTTCTTATTTACAAAAATTATCCAAATAAATGTTACAGCAATTCTAATAATAGCATCAATCTTACTATCCAAAAATAATCTTACTATCTATAAAATATGGCTACTTGTAAAATCTGCAGTACTTAGAGTGTATAAATATCTATATTTTTAGTCTCTGTATGTGATATACCCTGAGGAGAGAATGGAGCAGTTGCTGGAGGATCCATCTACAAAACTCTAGAATTGGGATGCTGAAGGTAACATCAATCAGCTAAGTGACAAATTTTACAGTTGTATTAGATCATTGTGTGTGTGTGTGTGTGTGTGTGATAAACTTGGGAAAGTTACTGAATAGAATAATCAAATGAAGGTTGGTAATGAACAATAATACTTAGGACAAGAACAACACATAAGATTTGCCAGTGGCACGTAGAAGAAGTAGTCAACTTCTAGAAGTGAATCAAGTGAATTCCACAATAAATCTCCAACTGCAGACCAACATACAGTATTTATTTACTACTGTATTTATGTGAATGGGGACATACCCATTATCATCCGTAGGTATGCTACAACTATATATATATATATATATATATATATATATATATATATATATATATATATATATATATATATATATATATATATACGTATGTGTGTGTGTTATACATACAAGTACAGGGTTGGTACACATGGAGTAAAATTCCAATAACTAAAAACACTATTCTTAAAAGATTGCTCAATACCAAGTAGAGCTAATAATATATATTCAAATTTATAACATATGCATGTTATAAGATCACTACAAAAGTTGCAATTTTCTTTCGACACTTCTGGTGTCTTATCAAGTATCAGGTCACTTGATAAGACACCAGCATATCGGACTGGTGTTATAAAAAGAAAACTGCAACACATATCAATTTGGCATTTAATCTCCTTTGAAGCAGATACACTCTACGTACTCTCCTTCCAAGCACTGCTATGAACAAAGGAAGTGAGCAAGAATATTATAACAGTGCATATGCCTGACAAAGTTCAAAGTCAATCTGTGCTGAGGGTATTCATTCTGTGTACTTTAGCTTCATTACCATAGCACCAGTCCTAATACATTTTGATCAGACCTCTCTCTCATATATATAAGTACTAGACATTAAAAATTATATAATTTAATGTATAATATTTAAATAATATTTATGTTGTCACACAACAAACTTGCTTTCATGACGCTTGACTCTATATTTGAATGATAACTAACATTTTTAGGCATTTAAAACAACATGCCTGGCCACATACACAATTCAGGAAAATCCTCGTTGAAAACACAACTATACTTAAACATGAAAAAATAAACAAAAACTAAAAATTCTTGAAGCTATATACATAAAACAGTTGAAACCTAACCTGATAAAATAAACTATGAAATTTTACACAAATATTCTTAAATGACTAATTTATAACAGAAGCCATTTAATTCTTCTCAGTTTCACTCTCGCGTGGTCATGTGTGACGTCATGAGCTGCAGTGCGATTTTCGTTACCAGCGTCTCGTATGCAGGAGTTTGTCGTTGCTTGGAAATCTTCCATGTAAACAAACAGACTATCATTATTATTTTGTCCGTGTATTGGTTAATATATTGTAATGTCATTGTCATCTTTGATAATGGCGTATGTAAGCCGGAAGGTTAGATAGGTTTAAAAAATATGTAACAATATTGTGATTTTCTTCTTTTAATGATAATGTTATTAAGCTTATCAGATGATATGAAAAGAATTTACATAAAACAAATAGACAAAACTTGTCTATATTATTCAATGAAACATGCATCAATGAAAAAAATGCTGCCTAAATACACACAATATATATAACTGATTTTATAACTCAAATATTATTTTTAGTGGATATCCATATTAATTTAGATGCTCTATTTATTTTCTGAATATTTGAAAAATCTTATTAAAGAAAATATGCTTTAGTGGCAGATGGTTCCAGGTTTGCATCTCCTGGTATCAGTCCCAGCGCGGGGATTGAACTAACCTCAAGGATTAATGTGTTGGCTTGAAAATTTACTGGCTTAGTAATTCGGAGTGTCAATATTTAGCCTGGGTGGTACTAACTTAGACTCGGTGGAATGGGGCGATAACTCAGTAGTACTAAATAGGAACTAGACGAGTTATCTCCCCTAGACATAGACAGTGGAATAAGAAGAATCCATCTCGTAGATTACCATATTTGCCTTCACATAAGAGACGTTTTTTTTTTTTTTTTTTTGTATTTTTAAATGAACGAAGGAAAAAAAAAAAAAAAAAAAAAAAAAACTGCCGTACGTGTTTCATACAGCTCCATTACAAATGGGAGACGACCGAGTCTTGTACCGGTAACGTACGGCGTTGGGTGAGCCTAGTCCACTAGGTATAAAAATTATTACTAAAAATAAGATATTTAAATAAAGCCAAATTATTACAGCAAATTTTGTTACTAATAATAAAATGACAGAGGACGGAAAGTCTGACACCAAGATATGAAGGTGTATTGGGTTAGCCAAAGATGCATTCCAAAAGCTAAGCAGGGTATTAAGAAACAGGAAAACTTTGTTAGAAACAAGGAAAAGAGCACTAAAAACTGTTACGTGATATCTGTCTTTCTGTATGGCTGTGAGTGCTGGACAATCTCCTCAGAGACGAAGAAGAGACTTGAAGCAGCAGAAATGTGGTTCTACAGAAGGATGCTGAGGATACTATAGATCAAACATGAGGAACAATAAAGTTTTAGAAAAAATGGAAACAAAAAGGAAACTCATACTTAACATCAGGAAGAGACAGTTGAGGCTTCTAATGCACATGAGGAATGAAGGCTTGGAAAATCTGATACTCACAGGAAAGAGGGACAGAGGAAAACAACACATAACATACTTAGTGAGCTTGAGAGCTTAGGAGAAATAAAGACAAAATTTATTATTAAGAGCTACAAAGGATGGGAAGTTGTGGAGAGCTGTGATCGCCTATGTATTGAAAGGACATGTCGCATAAAGAAGTCTATACTGACTACTGAAATACAAGATTCTCTTAGCATGTATTTAGTTTTTTTCCTCTGTTACATGTTGTATACTATGAGCAATAGTGAAATATTTTGCTTTGTCTACTGTAATTATCTATAAGTATTCATTCACATATGCTAGGCCACAAAAATTTCCTGAGCTGACCAAGCATAGAAATGAATACAATATGGGAACCAGCACTAAGCAGTGCTAGAGAAAAGCACTGAATAACAACAAAAAATTGCAATACAAGCTCTGGTTTAAAAAAAAAGAAAAAAAAAAAAAAAAAAAAAAAAAAAAAAGAAAAAGAAAAATGCAATAATAACAAAAATTGCAGTATGAGAGCATTGGTAAAAAAAAGTAGTTGCTGAGACATTAGGTTTATAAGTCCCAAAAATTCATACAGACATGTCCTCAAGGACACATGACCCAGTGGATAAAAACGTTGGTTAAATCCAGTGACTATACCCAAAGAGTTGTGAGTTTAAGTGGTGAGAGTTGAGTTAAAGGGAAATAACTGAGACATCTGGAACAATCTACACCAGTGGACGTAATTATTTACATTGTTCGGACTGTTGTCCTCATCTTTACTGCCATGTTCACGACGTTGAGTTAAAGAGAGATCTGGAAGGTAGAACAATCTACCCCAGTGGATGAAATAAAGGATTTGGTTTGAAATTCCAATCACCTGAAGAAGGTACATTGTGAACAGGGCAATGTAGATAAAGATAACAGTCCAAATAATGCGAGATAATATCTCTGAGATATTGACAAGAATTCATTCGAATTTATTGTACTTTACTGTTTGCTTTGTTTATATGTACTAAAAATGTGGCAAATCTTTGAAGATTGAATATATCATTTCATACTTTATTCCAGTCTACGGTTACAATATTGTATTTACAAGCACAAAATAAACACCCCCAATCTTATAAAATCAGTTTCAAATAGATTTGAATAAATATATGATGAAACATGCTAAATTTTTTTTCCTTGTAAGGTAGGGAATGGGGGGCATCTTATATGAAAGTGTGGGTTATGCAAAGGCAAATATGGAGAATGAAGTGGTCAGTTTGAAATTTTCTAAAAGGTAACTCAGGTTGATAGATATGTGAAGAAGGCAAGAGAATGCAACAGCCAAAAAAATGATAACAAAGATGAGGACATGGGTCTAAATGTAAGTAATAATCATTCATTCATGAGAAAAAAAAAAAGGAGAGAGAGGAGAGAAGGAGAGAAAGAGAGAGAAGGAGAGAAAGAGAGAGAAGGAGAGAGAGAGAGAGAGGAGAGAGAAAAAAAAGAAAGAGAAAAGACTCACCTTGCTATCCTGTAACTGAAGACAGGAAAAATATAACTCCCACTCCAAGAACAATTTAAAGACATCTTGTCCAACCCACACTCTCACCAATAGAGCTGAGACAGAATAAAGGAAACGACAGCAATAACACAAAGGAAATGGTAATTATTGCTCCTTTATGACAAATGAGTTTAATCAGTGACCAACATGGGAACAAAAAAAAAAAAAAAAAAAAAAAAAGAAAAAAAAATGCTTTCAAATCAAATTTAAAGCTCCCAAGTACACATAATGCTTAACAAGAAGCTGTTGTCCATCTCACACTCAAACACGAAGCATATGCGTGAGTAGAGGGAGGTGATATACATTGAAATTTCAAACCAAACCCTTTATTTAATCCACAGTAGTAGATTGTTCTAATTTCACATGAATACAATATGGGAATCAGTAATACAGAGTTAGAGAAAAAACAAGAGAAATTTTAATATGTGCTCTGGTAAAAAGAGGATAACTAAGACATTAGGTTTTTAAGACCCAAGAATTCCCTCACTGATGTCTGCAAGGACATATAGCCCAGTGGATAAAAGCGTTGGTTGAGTAAAATCCAAAAAGTGAAGAGGGAAAAAAAAAACTTAGAGTTGAGTTATTAAAGGGAATTAACTGAAACGGAGATATCCAAAATAAAGGCATGGCACATGGAACTAGAACAATCTACCCCTTGAGCTAAATAAAGGGTTTGGTTTGAAATTCCAATGTATATCAACTGAAGAAGGTTGGAGTGTACAGCAGTTGAAATGTTACAAATATGACAATAAAGAGGAGAACAGCAGTCCAACTGATGTAAATAGTGTAAATAAACTAAAATTAATATAACAATTTCTTTCTATTTCCATCCACCTTAAAGTAAGTAAAGCCTAACTGTTGGTATATACACAAGTACATAAAAGCAAAGATTAAATCGGCTAAATATACAGCATTAGAAATCATCATCATTATTACATAGATCTCCATAGTAAAATTAGTACATAAAAATTTTTACTTATAAATATTAAATAAAGTAATAAATAAAACAACTGAAAAGCTTTTTTAAGGTAAAAATTGATTAGTATAATTGTGTTAATGGTCTTAAGCAATCTTTGGGTACAATAATAAATTTCTACAATCTAAATAAAAGTAAATAGTATAATTAGACTCAATTTAATTTTAATTTAAATCTTAATATTGATTTTGATTATAACCTCGGTTTAACAGGATTTCAATAACCTCGGTTTAACAGGATTTCAATAACCTCGGTTTAACAGGATTTCAATAACCTCGGTTTAACAGGAACAGGATTTCAAACCTAACAGGATTTCCTCGTTTAACAGGATTTCAATAACCTCGGTTTAACAGGATTTCAATAACCTCGGTTTAACAGGATTTCAATAACCTCGGTTTAACAGGATTTCAATAACCTCGGTTTAACAGGATTTCAATAACCTCGGTTTAACAGGATTTCTTGTAATATTCTTATACATTTTAAAATTATTTTTCTTCAAATCTTAAACATTAAGCCATCTCTTCCTTTTCCTCTTACTTTTTAATCGACTTATTTTCTTGATTATGTCAAGTAAGCAAATATATTTTTGAAACTTTTTTTCTCATTATAATGAACAAATATGCAATGAAGTTAGCAGAAAAAAAATGAAGCCATGCCTACTTTTAATAATCTTTTTTTTTTACCTGTTTAAATTTTCATGACTTACTAAACTCATTAATATCAACTATCCCTCCCTACCCCAAAAATCGAGTGATGGCAAGATGATAGCTAAATTATAAGTATAGTATTTATCGATCCACCCAAGAGGATAGAATGTGGAACAAGGCCGGTTTAATGTGGGTATCCTCCGAGCCCGTAGGCTCGGCCAAAAATATAGCCTTTTTGAACCCGCCTAGACGGATTCAGGCCCTGTCTACCTCCCTGAACGAAACCTTGCCCTTCGGCAAAGCTTCGTCCGGGTTCCTCTCTGCTAATGCAGAGAGTTCGACAGACGCCGACTCGGAAGCTCACAAAGGCAGCGTACTACACTTTGATCCAGGCCCCCGGGAAGTATTGCCATGAATGAAAGGCATTAATTGCTTTGTTTCTGGTTTTCAAAAGGTTACATAATTGGGTTTATAAAGAAGGACCCAAAAGTTCTCATTTTTCTGACCCAGAAAGGATTTATATATATATAAAAAAAAAAAAAAAAAAAAATCAGTGGGTACTGAAACTTTCTTTTCAGCACCCACTCAAAGTGAAATGACTGAATTATTTTGTAGGTCAACAAATGTTGTGACTGGTGGGAATTCATATATGTTCTTTGGACCATTCCAGAAAGTACTGGACTCCTACCATGCTCCATCTTTACAAGAGTCTGATTAGTCCATAAAAGGAGTATTGGTGCTTTATCTGGGCTGAAAGCTAGCCAATCCTCATTTTCCAGATTTGATAAGGAGTAAAGAAGCATTTACACAGCTTTGTAGGTGATGAATTATTTCCCACCTTACAATCCCTTTCCCCACAGATGAAATGTTGCTAGCCTCACTATTGCAATCGTTACATTCATCAATTCCACCAGTTCAGACCTTTACAGCTAGGACCCAACCCATCACTTTTTTTTTTTTTTTTTTTTTTTTTTTTCCCAAGCAAGGCGGAAGTGCCACTAGCACGCAAGGGGTTGCAGAGAGCAAGAGTAAAGAAGGGTGATTGAGGAAAGGATATAGAGAAGAATAGGGATCAGGATCAAAGCATCAGATGATGTCACTTGACATTAAGTTTGAATATTTGAAGATTATAACTATCAGGGAAGCAAGTAAGAGGAAGGGAGTTCCACTGTTGGGAAGTGCGAGAGAAGCTGTTGGAGTAGAAGAGACGGTTACAGTTAACTGTTTCAAACGTGAAAAGGGTGGGGCCGAGATGCCAACCTAGTAGCACGCTTAAATTCATGCAGTTGGGGTACCAGTGAAAGTATGTACAGTTATTCTTTCTGTATTCTACTGGTAAAGACAAAGTTCAACTTCTTCCCCAAATTGTTACTTTGTTGAACAGACTCTTGAAAAGATGCTTCCCTGTTCCCTCTAATATTAACCTCTTCAAGTTTTGGGGCAACTGTAATCTAACGTAGATATCCTTGTAATATGCACCACTTTCTCCCTGTATTCCCTTATAAAAACTTTATCAGCCCTCCTACCTAGAGTGGCTCTTGGGCCTGTCATTGAGCGAATAATAGTTAAAAAAAAAAAAAAAAAAAAAAAATGGTGCATTCATATTTCCAGCGATCATGAGAATCGTCTCAAAGCAAAGGATACATTTTTTACTTGTATCAATCTCTTCTGATTTACTGGTAAGATCAAATGCTTGCCAAGTTGGATTCTGAAAAGGAATAGACATTTTTTTTTTAATGATAACTTTTTCATGAAAAGAAAAAATATGAAAATGTCAGAAAAACCTACAAATGAAGTGAGAAAGATTAAAAAATCTATTCTTGTATATAAAAACAACTTTTATCTCTGCTAATAACAGCTGTAAAGATGCATCAAAACAGTATAACTACTGACCAACATGAACCAAACCATCGTCTAATACAACATAAACCATTACAAATAAATCGTTAACTGCCTTTTGCAAACAAGCTTGTTACTCCATGGAAGTCAGAAGCCTACAGCTATTCGCCTGAGAGACAAAAGGACGCTTCAGTCAGGTCTTTACCATTATTTCTGGCACCTGTCTTGTAAGCAAGAAGTCAATAGTTCAAGTCGAGTCAGAGGTAGTCCGAAACGAGTTGTGTTCAGACAATTACTGCAAGACATTGGAATAGAGTTACTGGTCGAGACTACATTGTTCTCTCTACTAAACCTGATTGTTCATACTAACACTTCTATGTCTCTGTATATATTCCTGTTTGTAATATATCTGTGTTATTCCATACCTGTGTTTGAGTTCACCATGGTACAAGGAACCAGACCATAACACATCTATTGGCCTGAATGTTCAAGAAATCTTATTAAATTTACACTCTCTGGCAAGATTTGAACCTGCTTTCCTCAGAGCAGAGGAAGTTACTGGTAAGCTCAGCATAGCTTTTACTTAAAACTAAAATAAAAACCTCAAGAAAGATTTTTCATTTGTAAAAGTGCATTTTAAACCTTTTCTTTGGAGGTACCTATAAACAAGATTAATTGCAGAAATATAAACAGTGGCTATTACTGCTGCTGATTCAAGACTTTGTTAAGACGACAAATCGAGTTCTCCAGTCACTGGCATGTTTATCTAAAAATAAATGTTTAAATTCACCTTCATCCCTGTTGTGTGCCAATGGCTTAGGGGTAGAGTCTCAGTCTAATACCAAATCAGTTGTGTTTCAATAATAACTTGAGGCAATTGGATGTCTAGCCACACTGATGAGCTGTGAAACTGTCTGGATGAGCTATATATATATATATATATATATATATATATATATAAAAAACCAAGATTACAGGTACTTCTTACTCAATTAGCAGGTTCTGTTCCTATAAGCTGATCACTAAACAATTTGGTTACAAACTGTGAAGCTCTACCTGACTACTAGTTCAGGCATAGTGTGTTTGTAATCAGTTTGTGTCAACCAGGTTCAAATCATTTCTGCATCATTTCTAATTTATTTATATATAGTTATCAATTCAAATAACAGCTCTATCTTCTGTAAATTACTTCGGTTTGCATTCTGTAAATACAGTACAGGTAAAATTTGATTTATTTTTCACAAAGAGAAAACAATCTAATCAAATTTCCATAAGATGCACAATACTGTTTTTTTTTTTTTTTACTTACATTTATATCTAGTCCTAAGTCCAAAGGTGTTGTTAAACATCCAACTCATTAAGGAATGACAGTAGATAAAATGCATAAATTATATAAATATGAACTTACCAATGAGCCTGAAATTTTTTCACTTGTATAAAAGGCTGAAAAAGATGAAGAATACATATGAAAAAAAAAAAAAAAAAAAAAATAATGAAGAAATCTGAGTTCTTATATAATATAATGACCCTGTTTAAATTGTCTGGTCCACTTGTAAAAAAGGAAAATTTTTAAGGAAAAATAATTTTTGTATAATGCATTTATTAGACCTTCAAACCATGACATCAGAATCAGAAAATACAGATTTAAATTTTTTTTCTTTTTAAAAATTTAGAAGAAGGAGAGTGTAAACTTTTTATAGAGTTTTTTGGATTATTTATGTCAAATTTGAAACTGTGCTGACATTGATATCTGCATATTTATTTATTTATTTTTTTTTTTTTTAATTGCTCAATTTTTAAAACTGTGGGGGTTTCTGAAGCACATGCACAAATATTAGGGCAATTCATTTGGAATCTACAGCATCTGGTATTCCCCAAGCAGTCTCCCATTTAGATACTAAACAGATTTAACTTCAGTAATTATACAGGAAACAGCATTTCAATGTGATATGGTCCTACATGACATGTGGAATAATAATTATGTTAAATGAAATATAAATGGATATATACTTCTAATTTATGTTAACTTTTATTCTTTAATTAAAAAATAATTACACTATTTGCTTTTGGATCATTGCCCTCACAACATTTTGGTCATTGTGTCCTGGTAGGCAACAGGCATTTTGGGAGAAGGAAAGAGGGTAATTAGTAAAGTCATTTGAAAAAAAAAAAAAAAAAAAAAGGAGGAGAGAAAAGAGAGAGAGAGAGAGAGAAAAGAGAGAGAGAGAAAAAGAGAGAGAGAGAAAAGAGAGAGAGAAAAGAGAGAGAGAAAAGAGAGAGAGAGAAAGAGAGAGAGAAAAAAGAGAGAGAGAAAAGAGAGAGAGAAAAAGAGAGAGAGAGAAAAAGAGAGAGAAAAGAGAGAGAGAGAAAAGAGAGAGAGAGAAAAAAGAGAGAGAGAAAAAGAGAGAGAGAAAAAGAGAGAGAGAGAAAAGAGAGAGAGAGAAAAGAGAAGAGAGAGAGAGAGAGAGAAGAGAGAGAGAGAAAAAGAGAGAGAGAAAAAGAGAGAGAGAAAGAGAGAGAGAGAAAAAGAGAAAAGAGAGAGAGAGAGAAAAGAGAGAGAGAGAGAGAGAGAAAAGAGAGAGAGAGAGAGAGAGAGAAAAGAGAGAGAGAAGAGAGAGAGAGAGAGAGAAAAGAGAGAAAGAGAGAGAGAGAGAAGAGAGAGAGAGAGAAAAAGAGAGAGAGAGATTCCTTTAATCCCTTTTTTACCCTGAAAATATACTCTTAATTGGACATGTTGGATAAATTTCACTATTTTCAGAAATGTTTGCGTAACAGAAAAAAAAGTAACAAATGGCCAGTACAAAGTTGCTCATATAAGCAGCCCTATTTTTACAGATTAGGCAGATGTTGATTCCAGACTCATATTTTGAGCCATCACTGCTGTCAATAGAGTAGAGGAAACACATGATGTCATTTACTTGATATGCATAATATGAACCCGGACATTGATTTATAACCATAAGGTAGTCAAAGTGCAAACATTTACATGAAATTCAATAGAATATTTTCAGGACATTAAAAGAAATGGTTACCTTTAGATTTCTTGTCCGTGTGTAATGTGAAAAAAGTCTTCACTTTATTTATATCATTGGCCAGTTGGTTTTTGAAAATTATATTTCGTACAGCTACACTTTTCAAATGGCGTACTCTTTTCTGAAAGAAAAAAGAAAAAAGACCTTTACTAAGCAAATACATATCCTCAAGAAAAAATGTATGTATATATATATATATATATATATATATATATATAAAAACAGACAAACAAACATAAATAAACAAATGTATAAACATATAAATAAACATATGTATAAACAAACAAATAAATAAATAAATAAAAAGATACACCAGGACCTTTCTGTTAGAGTTTTAAGATCATCTATGGTGAAGCCTATTTGAGAATAGACGGGACAAAAATCTGCCCATTCAAAAAATACAGTGGACTTTTAATGTAAAGCAAATATAGAAAAAAGTGACTTAGACAAAAAAAATTTCAGTAGTTAACAAACAAAATCTTTCCTTTTAATTAAGTTTGAGCTTTTACTTTTATACTTTTCAAAATAATAATAATTGCCCAGATACTACACTAGGCATGGCTTCTGATCTTAAAATGATCAGAGGCGTTAGCAGGTTTTGTTCTGGTGAAATAAGATGGGCTACAATAAATATTTCATTCAGTTCACTTGTCAGTTACCCCCACTTTTCAAAAATTATTTCACTCCAAGGAAGGTAATAAAACCACTAAGATGCAAGAGGTTACTGAGTGTTAGAGAACGATAGCAAGAGAGAGGACAAAAAAAAAAAAAAAAAAAAAAAAAAAACAAGAATTAAGACAGAAGATATCAATTAACATTGTATTTAAATTTTTGAAGATCAAAGTTGACTGGCAAAAAGCTGAAAGAGAGGTCCACAAGTGAGAAGTGCAAGAAAAGAAACTATTAGCATCAAACTTGCAGTTACATCCATAGTCATTTCAATTCTAAAATGATGAGCACATGCCGCCAATCTAGTACCGCACCTAAATTCATAAAACCTAGGTACCATAGTGGAAAGTTCATCAAAACAATTACCATGAAAGTATTTATAGAAAAGGCAGGTGGAAGATGCGCAATATACGAGGTCTGGACCAATAACATTGCAGATTCTTCTTTGCATTTTATCAAGAATCTCCAAATATATAGCAGGATCACCAGACTAGACATGGCAGCAATATTCAAAGCAAGGCCATGTCCCCTAACACTGTGCCTTTGTTTATAAGCAAGAGTAGCTGGGTGTTAAGAGTCGTTTTTCGTTTGTATTTTTTTTTTAAACTTTGAAGGACAAGGCAGCCAGGGCAACTTAGATACTTGAAAATACAGGAAGGAGACTTCCTAATGTTATCAGACTGGATTGAGGTCGAACCCAACATGTGGCACCTTTAAAAAATGCCTGGAAAAACATAACATGGTTTGACCCAAGCCTTGTGAGCAAAACTGGGTAGAATGAACTCAATGTGGGTCATTGATAGCAGCACTACCATAAAACTACAAGTCATTATAGCCAAGGGCTTGAGCGTGCTGGCCTTGTTCAAATTATTGATCATGCTAGATAACATGCTCTCTCCCGGAAACTGTAACTAAGGTCTGCTCAGCATAGTTGCACTATAAGCCACAGGTGGGCGTTGGGCAAATACAAATGTGCCTGAACGAGCATCTGAAATAGGGGTCATCCATCCATCCATCCATACATAATGGATAATAACTTGTAAATACGAGTTCCAGATTCATAGAATCATCAACCTTCTCTAAAAATATAAATGGAAACTTGAATAGATATTTACAAAATTCAGTTTAGGCAATAATTAGCAAGACCTTACAGTGTGTGTGAACAGACATCTTTTTAGAGGTTGCTGTGTTAGCAGTGAAATGCTATGGTTAATTTGTGATAATTGCATTTATTATGACAATGAACCTGCCTATTCATCAGGTCTTAAGTTAGGTGTGTCAGCTGCTGTCACAAACAGAGCTACAAGGAATTGTCTTGTTGGAAGATAAACATAACCCAACTTCTGAGGCAAAGAAGGACAAATTAGTTTCACCGAGGGTTTATCCATTAATATTTCTGATCTGTGCCACTTTCTAGCTCATGTTAACTGATGGCCAGAGTTAAAAAAAAATAAAAAATAAAAAATTAATTAAAAAAAGAAAATAAAGAAAAAGGAAAATAAATTTTAATTAAAAAATAAAAATATTTATGGTTGACAATATTTCACTAAAAATAAAAGATATCCTTACTAATTACTTTTGTCTATAATTTTTTCCTATTTTTTTTTTTTTATTCCAATTTGTTTCGTTTGTAAAAACAGTAAAATGATTAAAATTAATTCTTATAATAATTATCTCCCTTGTTGGCTATTGTGGCATGTGGGGGCTTCCTTACTTCGCTCGATTCAGCAGTAGCAGCAATGAAAGTAAACTACAGGGTATAACTGAAACTCCCAGACTTCACAAATGCTGACTGAGCCCTATTTGGTCTCTTTTCCACTCATCCTTTTTAGTAGCTATTTCCTTCAAGGTCCAGCTCAAAGGACTAGTCACAACCCTTGTTGTAGACACATGGGCAGTTCTGGCAGCTCAACTTCAGATTTCTTGTTCCCCATAGAGACAAGCAGAGAAGTCTCCCTTTGAGACACCTAACCAAAGAAACTACTCACAACCTTTGCTGCAGAAGGCATGAAACCAGTCCTAGCAGTTTGATACTCAGATTTCTTGTTCCTTGTGGGAACAAGTGGAGAAATGTTTCTCTATAAAACATCTACTCTAGGGAAGAACTTTGTTAACTGGGAAACCCAACTATTTCCCCCACAAAAAAATCTCATTATTTTGCACTCTTTCTTTCAGCCACAAATAAAAGCTATTAAACAATTATTTTGACCCTTGGTTTTGTTCATTCCATTCTATAAACTGTCAAGCACACAAACACACAACTGAGAATATTCCTACATCCTCAAACTTAATTTAAAAAAAAAAAAAAAAAAAAAAAATTTTCAATGCTAAAATAGACAAAAGTTTTTCTATAACATTGTTACCAACCACTTCTTAATGAAAAATTCTATTTTTTCTAAAAATTTTTCTTAAAGGATTTATTTGGAGAACATTGGTAACAGTTCTTTGGGAAATAGCTGCAGAATCCTGTAAATTAAGAAAATAATCTAATATTTGTTTAGATACACATATGAATGCAACAATTGATTAACCAAAGTACAGTAGTTATGATGTCAGTAACACAAAGAATGTGTTGCCCTGGTTTGATAATTAATCTAAAAATAAAAGGCAAAATTATGGGTGTAGTTTTTTTTTAAACATTGATAAAGATTATGTAATGGCATGTCAGTGTATGCATGTATACATATTTCTTAGCCACTAATAATATCAACAATGCTTTAAAGCACGTGGAGAGCAACAAGTGCTAAACCCAATTAAAGATCAACACTGTCCTATGCTAAAGGGAAATGTGCAGACAGAAGAAGGAGAAAGGGAGGAGAGAGGAGGAAAACTAAATGGAGAGAAGGAGAGAAAACTAACCAGAGAGAAGGGGAAAACCGACAAGAAAGAAGAAGAGAGGGAAAATGAATCAGAGAAAAAACATTTTTCGCTTCATTTCTTTAAAGAAAAAAAAAAAAAAAAAAAAAAGAAAGAAAAAAAATATAACCACAATGTCAACTGTGGAAGTTCTAGAGTTTGGAATGTTTACAATAGAAATTTAATAAAACAAATACTGATGTAAACAGAGACAAAGATATGTCAGCTTATTTAATGAATAATTTGTAAGCATGTGCTGAAGGTTGACTCAGAGCATACCTGTCAGGTGATGGCTGGAGGTGTGAATTTTCTTTTTTATTCTGTTCATTATATCAGTCAGAAAACAGACAAAGAAAAAACAAAGTTATCACTTTGGTTACACTTGTCAAGTGCTTTTGCATAATGTGGGAGGGACATGTCGGGTGGAATCCTCTTTGTGTTTACACAACAACAACAACAAAAAAAAAAAAAAAAAAAAAAAAATTTTTATACAAGAAAATATAATTACTATAATTTTTTTTTAAAATACTAGTACAGCTGATAGGCATAGCATTACACTTAAAATATTTACTATAACTTCAAGCCTACACAAATTTCTTTGTGCAGACAAGACATAACAGAATAAAGCTTCAATGCTAAAATCTTAAACAAGTTTCTGTGACCAAGAATATTAATTTAATCTTGGAAGTAAGCAGCTTTTCAATTAGTTGATTAATGCATAGATTTGTGAATTTGATGGCAGTAATTGTGAGTTCAATTCCTGCGATGAGCCATGCAAATTTAGACTTGGTGGAAAGAAAGTGAACAATAACCATGTAGTTTTTTTTGTTTTTAAATTGATTTCACCCGATGCAAGGTAGTAAAACCATTAAGTCACAAGGGGTCAAAGGGTGAGGAAGAATTAGGAAGAGAAAGAGGAAAGTGTAATCAGACAGGCAGAAGATAGTAATTGACATTACATTTAAAGTTTTGCAGATTATAATTGGCTGGAAAGCATGGAGGTGGAAGGGAGTTCCACAAGCAAGAAGTGCGGGAAAAGAAACTGTTAGCATAGAACTTATGGCTACATCTGACCAGCTCAACTGTAAATTGATGAGATCTTGATGCCGGTCTAGTACTGCACTTAAATTAAAAAAGTCTAGCTGCCATAACAAAGAGCCTATCGGAACAATTACCTTAAAAGTATTTATAGAAAAGACACAGAGAGGTAACGCTGTGACAGTCAGAAAATGACTGGAGGTGAAAAAACACTGAAAATAGCAAGACAGGGTCACTGGAATGAAAACAGTTTTTCCCTGTAGATTAAATTTTATCACTCTGTATGTGACTATTTGCAATAAATAAAAGTTTATCCTGCCATTCAAGGTAACTGATCCCTGAACAATAGTGTTTGAATTTCACAGTTGTGTTGTCATATCCAGCTATGGCAACAGAAAACTACTTTGAGTGAAATTAACAGTAAAGATACTGCAATTGAGAGGCCTTGAAAAAGTATGCAATGAAATGGGAACCAATATTAATAATGCAGAGTGCTAAAGGTTAAATAAAGAGTCCAGTTTGAAATTTCTTGAAAGTTATCCAGATCATCAGTACCTGGAAGAAAAAAAAAAAAAAAAAATGTTGGGCACAGGGATTGAAAAATGTGGACAATAGCCTGCATTTAATATGCAAGATGCACTTTTATTCCTAGAAAATACCCTCAACAAAAAAAAAAAAACAAAAAAAAATACTTTTGAGTCTAAGGTACTGTCCAGGTTCAAGTAAGCTTGGACAATCACTTAATTGGCTTGCCTGATAGGGACGTGGATTTGTATGTTGAGTCATTATATTATGTTAGCTATCTAATTCAGCCTTTTATATGAGATAATATCAGTACTTAGCTGTTAGAAGTATTTCCAAGACTATAAACCTTCCTGGAGCCAAGCCACAAGCTTAAAGATGCTTTGTTTACAAGCAACATCAGGAGCTGTTCCGTTCTTGACTAGTATGTCATTGGCATAGAAACAAAATCGAACACGTGATAAATGTAAACAATACGTGACGCCAGTACGTGAGGAACACAGGGTGAATTTGTTGTATGAGAATGCCTTTTTTTCTTAGAAATTCCTTTCCAATATTAGGGTGTGTCTTCCAAGCCACAGCAGAAATAGATGTAGATGAAATAAAGGGTTCAGTCCAAAATTCCCTGAAGGTTACCCAGATCAACAAATGCCTGAGAAAGGGTGGACAAAACAAAGACAAGGACAATAATCTGGATGTAAATAATTCCTCATTCCAGAAATTGCTCAAATCTTTAACCATTACAATGCTGAAGGTAAAATTGTCACCATAGAATTCTCTCCCTTTGTATGCTGTAGGTGCATTCTGCCGCCTCGAGATGGTTGCTATAAATAAACACTGGTCAACTGTTATTTCTGGTACTTTAAGCTGAAAATCGCCTTCTACTGTTTTGGAATGAGGCTAAACTTCTGTTTTCTGATGCCATTTTGAATTCTTCTACACTCTACATGGGAGTGTAACATTGATTAAACGCGCATTAATTTTTTGTAAACAAAAATGGCTATCTCAACATCCAATGAAGCCTTTATTCAGGAGTTTTTTGTTTTTTTTTGAAGGCTTTACTCAAGTGGATATTGATGGTGAAGTGGTCGGGAGATGATAACCATGCTAGTGATATGGAGGAAAGTGATAGTGACCACTAGATACCGAGTGGCTGCTATCATCCATGGGCGACTAATTTTATGGAAGCTACTGGCCCCATGGATGTACCTGATAGCCTTTCTGAAGCTGAATTATTGTGTCTTCTTGTATGTAAACATGAGGAAGCATGTCATTTTTTTGACGAAATGAAAGTCTTCTTAGCCATTTTACTTCTTAATTTACTCCAGAACTCCACAAGGAGTAATAAACGTTAAATTGTTTATGTATTTGTTAATGTGTTTTTTTTTAATTTTTTTTTTTTTATTGCATTCAAGATCAAAACATGCATGCATTACATCAAAATATTACTCATCCACTCTTTTTATTATATTAGTATACAAAAAATAAAATCTATAAACACAATACAAAGAAAATTATAACAATTTTAAAACAGTAGATGCTCATGTTTTTGCGCTCTAAAAAAAAAAAAAAAAAAAAAAAAAAAAATCTGATTTAGCACTCCCACCCCACAACTTTTTATTTTGTGGCATCTTGCTTGTAGTGACTATTGATATGGCACCCATATTTGTTCAAGTTCAAATCAGGACTTACAAAAATTTCAGTTGTGAGAGGGGCAAGGAGTTGTTTTAAAAATTGTGGATAGATTAATATGAAATGGTAATTTCCACACAGCTGGATAACAGTCACATGACACTATCATAGTAATAATTAGTAGACTACAAACACGCACACCAACCTAACCCTCAAATATGAGCAATCTCATCATTTCAGAACACCTCCACCCACACAAAAAATGAGAATAACTTAAATCAAAATATAGTAATGATGATTAATAAATTTAGTGAGGTTAATGTTCCTAAAATTAAAAACAAAAAATATATTATCAGCACTTTCTAAAATAGATGCATCCTTTTTAATGTGTTCAGATGGACTAGATTCCTTAGTTCCACTAGTTATAACCTTCACAGCTAAGACCCAGCATGCTACTATGCACATTGCAGCAAACCCCACCCTCATTTCATTTATGAAAGTTCCACTCAAACAGCTTCTTTCCATGAAACACTACTCTGTGGAATTGACTCCTAAGAGGATGTTTTCTCAATCACTACAATCTTAACCTGTTCAAGTCTAGGGTTAGCCATTATCTTTCCTTATACACTGTGCCTCTTTATCACTCACACAAATTCCTTCACTAACCCTCTATCTTGAGTGGCTCTTGTGCATTGTATGGGGGGGGTGAACATTAGTATACAAAAAAAATTCCAGTTATTGCATTAATATAGCAACTCTAGTAGAGGAAAGTGAAGTTATTTTTAGATTAGTTAATAAAGAAAAAAAAGAAAAAAGAAAAAGAAAAAAAGAAAAAAAAAAGAAGATTAATTAATTGTTAAAAGATAGAATGTAAAGTCATTAGCAAGAGGAAGAGTACAAGATGTAAGCTATGAATTAGTGATGTCAAACTAAAGCAAGTACAGAAAATGAACTATTTGAGAAGTACTATAATAGACGATTGAAAATGTGACAAATCTAAAGGTGCATTGGAACAGCAAAAAAATGCCTTATAGAAACTAAGAAATGTGTTAAGAAATTGGAAAAATTAATTAAATGCAAAGATAAGCGTGTTCCTCTCCAATATGGTAGTGAATACTGAACAATTTCCTCACAGATGAATAAGAGATGACAACAGATGTTCTACAGAATAAGAATACCATAGACAGAACATGTGAGCAATGAGGAAGTTTTAAGAAAAAAATATTGATGGATTCATTTTTCTATGGTTTATCGACCCTTTGCAGGTTATTTAAAGCCAGAAAATATTTTTAGACAGTAAGATTTTTTTTTTTTTTTTTGGAGATAATGGTTTAGTGATACAAGTTTTACTAATTAACCCATAGCTGCAGGAAGAAGGGGTGGATTCATACCTAATCAGAATTTGATAAACAAGAAATTATAATGTAGATATAAAGTGGGAGATCAATTTTATACTGCTATCAATATATAAACCGATTCCTCACTTTTATGGCCATGTTGGCTTATTTACATTTATATTCCAGAGAATCTAAAGAAATCTAAAAGAGATGCCTGTGTAGCTAATCAGTATTTGATTGATTTTTTTTTTCTTTCTTTACAGCTTATCAATCCTTTGCAGGTTATTTAAAGCCAGAAAATATTTTTAGACAGTAAGAATTTTTTTTGGAGATAATGATATAAGTTATACTAAATTAACCCATAGTTGGAGGAGATGAAGTGGATTCATACCTTTCCCCAGAGGTATTTGTGCGTAAGTGAATACAATGAACCGAACTGGAATTGGAACTCTGCCCTCCAATTGACAATTCCGAACCATTATCCACTGCACCACTTGCACATCCAAACTTACAGTGCCTGGTATTCCCAAGTAATCATCCATCTAGGTACTGACCAGGTTCAATGTTGCTTAACTTCAGTGATCGTACAGGAACCAGGGTTTTAATGTGATGTGGCTGTAAGCTCAAGAAAAATAGGAATGGAAAGGACACTTGTTTAGGATCAGAAAGAGATGAATTATCTGATACACATAATGAGGAAAGAAGGCTTGGAGAATATGACACTTGTAGGATCTAGTGAAGGCAAGAGGAGAAAGGTGACACAGCAAGTGACATATTTAAAGAACTTGCATAAAACGATCGCAGATGAACAAGGAGGGATAGTAAGGGTTCAAACATTGCTTCGTGTCTACACAGGATAGGAAGCCATGGAGAGACAATTTCCCCCAGCACATTGGAGTAAAAAATATGACAGTACATGTTGTTAAGGGCTGACAATTATTGGGTTACAGCCACATCATATTTAAAAACTGGTTCTTGCACAATCACTGAAGTAAAGCAACATTAAACCTGGTCAGTAAGAAGATGGCTGTCCACTTGGGAATACCAGGTACTGTAAACTTGGTTGTATGGGTGGTGTAACGGATAATGGCTTGGAATTGATAATCATAGAACAAAGTTTCAATTCCAGTTAGGTTCATTATATTTACTTACATGCAAATACCCTTGGCAAAGTATGGATTCACTTCTCCCCCCATCTATGGGTTAATTAGTAAGACTGGTACCACTAAATTATCTATAAAAAAAAGGTGTACAAAATATTTAGATTTCAGCATTAAATAAGTCATATAGGTTAATATCCTGCTAACCAACCAACTTGACTATTATTAAATAGTTTTCATTCGAGTCATTAAACAATTTCCAATTATTACACAAACAGGTTACAATTCTGGGGCGGATCAAATTACTTAAGAATATAAAACAGAATATTGTATGGAAGCAAGAAAATTTTTTTTTTGAAAATGAAAGAAAAAAAGCTCAGTTGCAGTGCCTTGCCAGTCTTTAATGAAACTATATATGCCTGATGATTGCCATGTGCATAAACCTCAAAATTATTCCAAACTGTGAGGAATAAATGCATATTTATTAGTAACGACACTTCTGTCTCAATAGCAAACCTGTCAGATCTAACAAAGTAAATGTGGCTGCTGCTCTTGAAAAGGACCTCCAATTAGTAGTCAACTGGGACCAGAAATGGCTTGTAAATTTTAACTCCTCCAAAATAAAACTGTTTCATTAAACACCATATGGAACCTTTTCTGCCTGCCATCAGTATGACTGATGCTAGACTCTTGGAGAATAACATACTACGCTTTCTTGGCTTCACATTTTCAACTGACTTGAAGTGGAGTGACTACATCAAATCAATAGCTGCATCTACTGCAAGGAAAGTTGGGTCACTGTGTTGTGCCAGAAAGTTTTTCATGTCAGGATGCATCTTGTACATTTACAAAACTGCCATTCGACCATGCATTGAATACTGTTGCCATATCTGGTTTGGTGCTTGTCCTGTACATCTTTAGATTCTTGACAAAATTCAAAGAAGGGTCTGTAATGTAATTTATCTTGACCATGCATCTCATCTTCAGTCACTTTCTCACTAATGTGACATGTTTTCCCTTTGTCTTTTCTACAAATATTTTCATAGCAACTGCTCTGACAAGCTTTTTCCCTGGTGCCCCAACTACATGAATTTAAGTGTGCTACTAGATTAGTGTCTGGGTCCCCCTCATTTACTGTTGAAATACCTAAACGAAACCACCACTTCTACACCAACAGTTTCTTTTCTTGCACTTGTGGAACTGCCTTCTGTTTACTTGCTTCCCTGATAAATACAATCTTCAAAAATTTAAATTTAATGCCAATTGCCATCCTCTGTCTTCTTGAATCCCATTCATGTTTTGTCCTTTTGTCAATCCTTCCTATGCTCAGTCTTCTCTTTCACTCTCTGTAACCCCTGCATACTAGTGGCATTCCCACCTTGCTTGAGGTGAAATGATAACATATATAAATATTATATGAAACACACTTATTGATAAAATTTAACTATTATAAGTTGGCAGTGAAAAGGACTCAATACAAGGTAGAGCCTATAAAACAAAAAAATAAATTTAGAAGAATAAACTCAAGTCAACTCAAATTTCACCCTTATAATGAGGGATCATCAGGTCAAGTTGAATCTTTACAAATAATGAGTAGCACTTGTAATTTAAGTCTTTAAATATGTAGAACTTTTTTGTTGTTGTTATTGGCCTGAATGCAACTTTCATTCAGGTTCTATATTTACTATTAAGTGCTTTTTTGCATGCATACATCCAGTCATTATTTCAGCTCTCCTATTCAAATAGTAAGCCTGGATTCAGAAACCTCAACATCAACTTTCTCTCCTGACACAATTTATCTTATCTTTAGTTGGGTGTTCCATTAATCTTTTATTTCCCAGATATATCTAGACAGAGCAGCACTATTATGATACTTAATCTGAATCATCATGGAATCATTTTTTACCCTCAGTCAAATCAATATAATTCATTGTGAGGAGTGCATTCAACTTCAACTTTGGCTATGTATATGGCATTGTTAGTCAGACAGATCATTTAAACTTTAGCACGCTGGAAGCAAAATTCTCTCCCTTTGTAGCTGTAGGTGCATTCTGAGATAGTTGCTATAAATAAACACTTGTCAACTGTAATTTCTGATATTTTAAGATGGAAATTGCCTACTACTGCTTTGGAATGAAGTTAAACTTCCATTTTCCAACGCCATTTTGAATTCTTCTACACTCTACATGGAGGTGCAACATTGATAATTTTTTGTGAACAAAAATGGCTGCATCAACATCCAATGAAGCCTTTATTCAGGAGTTTTTCTTTGATTCAGACTGATGATTTTGAGGCTTTACTCAATTGGATATTGACAGTGAAGTGTCTGAGAGATGATAAATACACTAGTGACGTGGAGGAAAATGATGATCACTAGATACCAAACAGCTGCACTCATCCATGAGTGACTAAGTTTATAGAAGCTACTGGCTCCATGGATGTACCTGATAGCCTTTCTTAAGGTGAATTATTTTGTCTATTTATAAACAATGAAATAATAACTTTATTTGTTAATGAGACAAATAAATATGTTAGTCAGCAAACAAATGCTGGCATCTTGTACATAAACACGAGGAAGCATGTCACTTTTTTTGATGAAATGAAAGTCTTCTTAGCCATCATGCTTCTTATTGCACCACAGAACTCCACAAGGAGTAATAAATGTTAAATTGTTTATGTATTTGTGTCATATAGAAAGAAAATAACTAACTACCAACACTGAGGCTCAGGTGTGACACTCTGTACTTGTTAAGTATGTTAATGTATTTGTTTTTTTGTTTTGTGTTTCAATGTTAAAACATAATGCATTACATCAAAATTATTTTATTTTGAAACAAAAATTAAAATTTATGCACACAATACAAACAAAGTTATAACAATTTTAAAACAGTAGGTGCTCAATGCTCTGTGCCCTAAGAATGCAGTGGCAGGGGGTTAACAATTCTTGAAAGAATTTAGTGTGCTAAAAGTTAAGGAGTAATTTTCAGGTTTTCTACAATTACAGGTTGGTGTTTTACTTGTAGATTTATTCCTCAACACTTTTTGGTTATGCCCCTTAATAACACTCTTCACTTTCATACAAATGCCCTTGGGAAATTTGTCTCCTCCCCAAAACATTGGGTTAAATAGCAAGGTGGACTGAACTATTTAATTTTAAGTGACAATCAATCTAAGAGAAGGACAGCTATGAATTCAAAAGGTAACAGGAAACCACTCTGCTATAATTCCTAAGAAGTCATAACAGTTCACAGATGAAAATAAAAAAACAAAAAAAAAAAACAAAAAACAAAAAAAAACAAAAAAAAAAAACACAAACACACCCACATTCAAGACCTGAGGTGCATTGTCAAAAGGTAGCCATTGTATCATGCCTATTAAAATATTGGTTTTCATTTTGAATTTAAGCACACTACTAGATTAGCAGCAAAGTCTCATTTTACAGTTGAATTGGTTAGATGTAATCTTAAGTTCTATGCTAACAGTTTCTTCTATCACACTTCTTGCTTGTGGAACTCTTTGCTTCTTGCTTTCCAGTCAGCTTTGATTTTAAATTTAAATGCAATGTCAATCATTATCTTCCATCTTTTTTCCTTAGTAATGTTTAATTTTTCTCATATTCTCTCACCTGATGACACCTGTGCCTTAGTGGCTTTATTGCCTTGTTTGGGGGTGAAATGATTAAAACAAAGCAAAATAAAAAATACTAAAAAGTTATATTATGTGACAAAAACAAATTACAATAAAATTGTAAAAATGTTACCAATAATTAAAAGTCTTTTGCAATATTATATTTGAGGAATAATAATTTATTTTTATGATCTCCTCCAAAACAACTGGCTATGCTACAAGGTAACAAGGAGTTAATCTTACAGTAAGTCATAATTGCAGTTGAGTCAGCTGCTGGTGCCTACAGGTCTGATGACCATGTGCTTTCTGCTGTACTTTGCTCCACCTACCCAACACACACCATATCCAAATGATTTTTTTTTATTTATTTTTTTTTTGCATAGACAATGACTCACTTGTGACAGCTGTATACCCTGATTCCTCCCACTTCTTTTAGGTGGTACAGATATCAACCTAAATTTCAATTCGTCTAATGGCATACTACATAACAATTCCTTAGATATTGAATATAGATACATATAAATTTAAGAATGAGAGAGAACCAAATACAAAGTGTTTATTTTTAATGATAAAATTCACCCAATACAATGCTTGAGAGTCACTCAAGGTAGAGGGTTACTATTAATTATTCTGATATGAGGATAGATAATGATTGACTCTTGATTAGAAGTTAAGATTGTAGTGTTCAAGAAAGCAGTCACATGGGAGTGTTCAATAAGGTAGCAGTTAGCAAAGTGATATTATATAAGCATTACTATAGAAAAGTACATGATGGCTGCAACTTAATTTCAAGCAATGCCATCACTAGATCCAATTTTAGAAAAATTGGAGCTTTCCAGCAGGATTTGAACCTGCATTCCAAGTACATAAGATCTAGAGGAATGCATGT